TGAATAGTTAGGTGTTTATGATCAAGACGCCGCAATGGGCTGTCATCCCGTAGCTAGCTGGCAGGCTGCGGCAGCGCGGCGCCGTGCCGGCGTTGTAGACTAGAAGACACCTCCAGAATGAGCTAGCATACACACAGAGTAGGTGGACATACCGTACGATTAGTGATGAGAAGCCGTCCGTACCGAAGCCCCGATCAGCTCGAACCTAGCCATGAGAAAGGCCTTCCTCCGTGCGATCTCAATTGGATTCGAAGTTCACCGGTGTCTTGTTCCATGCGTCTGTTCGTGCAGATCGGGCTACACGGAACGCCCGTCCTTTCTCTCGGGTACCAGAAACTACACACTCCGAGCCAGAAACGGACAGATGTGGTCATGATGACATTGACTTCGCAGGAGCGCCGCATACACTGAGGAAAGCCTTGTCCAGAAACGGCCGCATAAGACTGCCGATCACCAAGTCCAGTTGTAAAAAATAGCAACTTGTTCAAACTGATGCAAGGCGGGGAGGTACGATGCGGGAATACGGTGTAAGCAGCCCGTTCGTGCAGTGCATACGTTCACCGCCGTGGATGGTGAAGATTCCGGAGCCGCATGACAGGCTTACATTCGAAACCCTGGGCAAAAAGAACAAAAACATACAACAGCGGGGATTCGCTAGTGGTCACCCACCTAACTACTAATCCGCCGGTATCTTGCTTAAGTACCGCTGAGCGAACGGGAAGCGCTGAGTTCAAGATCCTATGGTCGTATGTACAAGATTGCCGTTTTGAAAGGAAATTGTTCTGCGTCCATTGCCATTAGTAACATGACAACCACAGCCTTGTTCGGGTCAGCCCAAGGTACGGTCCAGGAGCGCCACACAGCCTGATGCGGCTCTGGAAGTTGCTTCTGTATGGGGCGGACCCATGGCGCCTTGCCACACCAACATTGTAGAAGTGTTATTATAAGAACTGTGAGCAAGCTAGGGACAAGCCTTGACCTAGAACGGCTGCATGGAGGCACAAGGCTGCGTATGCCGAGTCCGTCTTTCCGCTAGCGGCCACCAGAGTACCAGAATGTGTAGATACAAGGCGGAGTTGTAAGACACCAAATGCGTTGGCTCGATTCAAAGGGACGCCTTAGCATATAAGGTTGGGTGTTGGCGGTCCGCATGACATGATGGGCTGCCAAGTGGCGGCGGCGGCGCGACACGACGCGATATTGTAGCTGGGTCAGGCTGAGGATGGCGTCCCGCCTCGTACGATTCGAATGGGGTTGAATTATGTCATGGGTATCTCACTTGATTCGTCTCTTCATGCTGCTGGGACCATACTCATCACCTGGCGACTATCCACTCAGCCTTCCAGCGCCTTTGTCCGTCCATTCCTCTTTCTCCAACTCTGCACACCTCTGTCAATCTCATCTCTTGTCACACCGTCTTTTATAAGCTGCATAGTCACACCCAGCACCTCGACGTTCTTGTTCCTACTCTCATCGTCGAAGAAAAGCATCTCCTCGTACTCGATCCCACTGTCTCTATGTATCCTCTGGAAATGCGTCGTCTTGCTGCCGGGGTATATTTGCATGTGATCGAAGTAGTCTATCGCGCGTGAGGACGACCCGTTCGCGCTGGGTATCTTGAGAAGCTTGAGCATTTCGCGGCCGAGATCGGGGGCGCACGTGCGCGAGGCAGCGGCGATGAGGATGTTCTTGTGTTTGAGCTGTCGTTGCGTCAGCTTCGTCATGGAGATGATGGACATCGAGTCATCTCACTGCTTCTAATACGCCGCCAACATCATTGTAGAAGCCGAAGCCCTCGCCATATTTGTCCTTGACCTTCAGGCCACCTTCGACAGGCTTCAGCGGAGGCGTGACGTGGGTGTCAACCCAGAAGGGCCATAATGTGTAGTCGAGATCGAAGACGACAATTTTAGGGAGCGGTAGTCCGTCTGTGAACGTTGACGGCCATTGGACCTTTTCTGGGAGCCTTGTAGTCGTGGTCGTGTCGGTGGATGCCGACGAGGTCGCGCTGCGGCGGGGCATCGTGGTCTCCGGTATGGGTGGGAAGGGCGCTTTGAGGAAGAAGGCCAAGACGACTGCAGATACGACAACGGTTAAGAAGCGTGGAAAGGCCAGAATAGAGCTGCGCAGGGTGACTGTGAAAGCTGTCGCACGTGGCGCGCGTGGCAGAAAAAAGGCGATGACGTAGACGCGTAGGACTGCCCGATTGGGCGCCCGGCACGTGAGAACCCTCGTGGCACGCAACAACGTTAAACACACCTCACTACGAAATACCACGATCGATCGTTCACTGGAAAAAGCAAATTCCCTCAAAGATGGCATCGGTGAGTTCGCTTGTACTACCACAGTTTCCGCTGTACCAATTGGCCGTCGTGAAAATTCAAGTGTTGACCTGTATCACACATCAGCCCCCATTGGCATCACTGCCATCATGTAGATGTTCACGATTGCTGAGTGCAGTTCCCGACGTACCCATGCATAGCACATGCACAACATGAGGAAGATGATGGTCTCGACCACTAGCGCAAGCATCCGTGAACTGCCGATGAACTCATCGCCCGGCCTGACCAGGACCATCCTGAACCTTGTCCGGCGCACCTGCAACCTTAATCCAGCTCTAGCTATTTTGATACTATTGCCAAGTGTATCAGGTCTCTTCGGGGTTAAGCGCGCGATGCGCTCGACAACAAGAGGTACCTCGGTACCCGGAACCAGCGCTTTACGGACGCTCAGCACCCTTATCGCGCAAGTCCAGAACTAGATATGCAGCGCGATGGATGCAAAACACCGAAACATGCAACTGTGCGATGACGATTGGGATGATGGCCGTCTTGCATGTGTTAAAATGGGTTGCGCTGCACACCTTCCGTTCTAGTCGTCCAGCCACTGCCAGCCCCGCAAATAACGGGCAGCGGAAGGATTCCCGCCTGACTTCTGCCTGCGTCCACCTCTACACAGCTTTCTCGAGCAATGTCGCCGTGATCCGACCACCAACGGGCTTCAATGGCGGCGACCTGTGCTCGTCGTACAATTCTTCACCGCGACCAGGAACAGCACCAGCTCGTCACCACCCCACGACCCGCAATTGCGCAGCCTCCGCGTCTGCGAATCAAGGCGCGCCCCATTGAAATCCAGCGCAACAACGGGTGACACCACGCCAATCAATCGCCACAATGGCCGACTTCCATGAGACAAGATCGCCCCTGACAAACGAAAATGTCCAAGTATGGGCGCGAGCGAATTTTGCCGCGCCGTTTCGCGCCCTGCCACGCGCCGCAAGACTGCATTGGATCCAGTTCGACGAGAGCTTCACCATCAGCAGAGCCATCTGGCGAGGGCTCGGCCGCTCCACCCACAAGCAATTGCTTGTCATCGGCGGATATGCGCCAGGCCCCGCGGGCGACGACGATGAACCCATAGATCGGGTCACCGCGCACGTCCACGAAGATGAGGCTGAGGTCAGCTTTTATCGCATTACCGAGTTGGAGGACGGCGCACACGAGTTGCAAGCTGTGAATAGTACCAGTACTGTTGCTTTCCATGCGCCTTTTTGTGATGTTGGAGACGATACCGGCGGCTCCAAAGCCATCCATCGTGTGTCGGCCCTCATTCTCTACTATTTCTTGGCTGCGGGCCACGTGAAGGAGTTATGTCGGACAAGATCAGATCCTACCATGTTTACCAGGAATTTCCGCGACGCATGTTTGTGGGTGCAGAACGAGGGGGAAAGACCATTGCTGCCGCCGTCTAGGAAATCGGAACCCAGTACGCCCATTGAAAAGGATTCGATCGCTGTTCGGCCAAAGCGATCATCTACCGTCTGTACGTCGATGTTGATTGTCATTTGGTTGATAATGTACTGACTAGAGGCAGCATCATTATCAAGATCCATACCGGAAGACATCCAGGTCCAGCCGCCATCCATCAAACGCGCAGCAACCGACAACTTGAGTGTCAAGATCAAACGCGAGCGCGATGAAGACTACCCCAGCATCGCATCGGCTATTCGTCCAAAGAAACACCGTCGCACCGTCAGCGAGCAAATCGTACCACCCTCAAATCTCAAAGACTCAACTTCCGTCCCATCACCGTTATCCATCCTCAGCCCGCGCAGCCCAGCACCAGAGCGCGTAAACCGTGCACTAACAGATCGAATCCAACACCTCAAAGACGAAAACGCCGGTCTCAAAGCCTCAAACACCAGCCTAGAGACCGAAAAAACCGACCTCCAAAAGCGCATGGAAAAAGAATCCCACGCCTACCGCGGCCTGCAAATCGAATCCGACGCGCTAAAGAAAGAGTCTGAGAACATGAGAAAAGAGATGATGGCCATGAAAGAGCGGTTGGAATCTGTCGAAACATCAGGCGAAAAGCTACGGGTGGAAGTCGATCGATTAACAGCCGTAGAAGAAGCAAGCAAAGAACTACGAAAAGAACTAAGGAATGAAGTTGAAAAACTGAGAGGGCGGGTCGAGAGAAGCGAGAAAGAGGCTGAAAATGCGAAAGAAGAGCTGCTGGCTGTGAGGCGTGGGTTAACGAAAGAGCTGGGCGAGGCGGTCAAGAAGTGGGGTGCGTAAGCGACGGGACGTGTTGGGGAATAGCGTTGGCTGTTGATTACTTTTTGTTCTTTTGTCAGATGATTTTGGCGGCAGAGGCGGCTTGTGGAGGGATGTTGTACATGATGTGCAAGGATGGGGTTTTTAGGGCATTTTCTTTTGGTTTGATGGAGAAGCGGCATCCTCGGCGTATTACTCGGCGTCTCTATTTCTCCTTCGATAGGGTTGGGGGCAGCTCACAATTTCAATGGGATAGCACTGCAGCCGTGTTTTCCGGGCTTGTTATTGGAATGGTCATGTGTTTGATGGCTTTGTTGATGCTGACATGTTCAAAAAGCTTACTTGAGATTATCAATACTATCTCATACTGCTGCTGTTACAAGAGGAGTAGAAGAGTCAATGAATATACTCCATCGCCGCATTTGATGCTCGCGCCCTGACACACTACGCCTTTTTCCAGTAATCCGGTATCTTGGTTTGTTTCCCACCGCGAATCACAGCCTGGAAGCCGGGTCCATCCTCGTCCTCAATCTCAGCTTGATCTTCCTCTTCGTCATCATCCTCTTCATCATCCTCGTCGTCTTCGCTATCTTCATCGTCATCATCTTCGTCATCTTCGTCACCGTCATCTTCAGACTCAGATTCAGACTCAGACTCAGACTCTTCTTCCATCTCCTCCTCGACCTCGATTACAACGTCTTCCTTAACTTCCTCCTGAACATCTTCGTCAATCTCCTCCTCAGCTTCTACCTCAGCAGTTTCCTCAGCTGTTCCATCACCCTCCCCCTTCTTAACCTTTGGCCTCGCCCTCCACAGCGGCATTCCAATACCCTTGCTCTCCACATCTTCCGCCTCTTTCAACTGCCCCATCATACCATAGTACTCAGTATACTCCTCACTCGCCAGGACCCAGCGCTTGGGATGCCGAATGCCCATCTCGCCGATAAGTCCATCCGCAGCAGCCACCTCGTACTTGTGCGGCCACTGGTTTTCATATTTGAGCTCGCGGAGCTGATCTTTCCTACGCATTTGCCCCGCGTGTTGGGCGGTATAGGTGTGCATCTTACCAACAAGTTTCTCGGGAGCCGGCGTAGTACTAGGCAGGAAGTTCCAGGCGAAGTTGATTTGTTTGGTCTGAATACGTTGGCCCGTTCTAATATAGTCGCGGAGAGCTTGTTTCTCGACATATTTCCTCGAGCCCCTATTGCTTAGTCGCTCGTGCTGCACTCGCGCAAAGCGGAAGAGCTCTGCGGTCTTGTACCACTTCCGCTTTGGCGTATCGTCGAACTCGTCGTACTTGTTGAAAAAGCGAGCGGGTGGATCGCCATATTCTGTTTCACAGATGGCGTCCCAGTCTAGAGAGTTTTGGAACATGAGCCAGTCGTGCCCGCAGTTTTCGCCCATTCCGTCTAAGCTGTCTCGCAACATGCCGATAACGCTGAGATACTTTTCGATATGGGTGCTCGTAAGGTCGTCGACATCCTTGGACGCATCGGTGATCAATAAGGTGACCTTGTCGAACGGATGAAGCAGGAGTGCACGCCATTCGGAGATTTTGTGACTATCCCAGTCTTCACTGGCGTTGAGTGTGAGCTTCTGCGCCACCTCCCCGTGACGCCAATTATCTTTCTCAGCCTCGGGTATCATCGCAAGCTCAGCGAGAGCCTCATCGAAGAAGCTGATGTCCAGGGTGAATGTGACGGATTGCAGCGCCTTCCATCCCTGGTGAAGCGGGATATTTCCGTAGAGGCTGATGGGATGCCCACACTCTTGCTCAAAGTCGTTGGAGAACTCATCGAAGAATACTTTTAGGTGACGAGCCGCTGCTTCAGAAAGTTCCTGCGTTATGTTAGCAATCAAAACCTATCGACCCACTCATCTTCCACAAGGGAGACCTGAACAGACCCGCAGCCTATATTGATGTGGAGACATCAACGTAGACCCCAGGACGTTCAGTCATGCCATTGAATGGCGTGCTCTTCCTCAATAACAGCAACTCACCAGGTTGGCCTGCTTACAAGCCAGCATCATACCACGACAATCTTCTTCTTTCTGCCAGCGCTTCCTGTACGGTAATGGAGGAAGCCATCCATACAGAAAGTCGTATATGCTCATACGGACGTCGCGGTTCAGCAGTGAGAAGAACATGGCGTCTTGGACTACCGGGCGCAGTATCAACATTCCAGCGTCCTGCATGGTCTTTAGTTGAAGAGAAGGGTTGCTGGTGGCCGGCGAGGGCGCGTGCTCTGTCATATTGAGTCTCTGTTGGGCTTGATTGTTACAAGTTTGTGGTGGAGCGATCTCGATCGTCGTAGAGCAAGCGTGGAAGAATTCTGGAAGTGGGACGGGCATTATATAGAGGTAGGAAGCGCAGAAGAAGCGCGTCAGTGCGCTTTGAGACTGCTGCCTCGCCCAGAGGGACGAACTAATCAACAGTGAAAGGGCGGTTCAGTCCGACCCGTTTCGGCGACGAACGCACGTGAAGTCCTGAGCGATGCGTTTGACGTCATGTCAGATGAACGTTATCGTAGAACTGAATTCGTCAAAGAACAAGATCACTTAAGTCTATCTTAAAGAAAGTAGGAAAGGGATACACTTGTGAGTAAAGTGCTCATCTCATACAGCTATATCACCAACTCCCCATTCTTTCGCGTTTCGTACAACTTCCTCATCACTCATCACCTCGTGCCGAACATCGTCACACAGCATGTGCCCACACCTCATCACACACCACCGCCGCACATCTCTTCTAATCACACACTTCTACTCACACAGCTGTTCGCTTGCCAACTGGAGGTGCCGCCATCACAGCACCCTTCCTCACCCTCTCCTTCTGATGCGCCTCCCTCCGCAACTGCTCGATCTTCGCATGCAACTCTGGTACGCCGACATCTTCCACAAGTTTACCGTGGCTCCTACGGTTCGCGTTCTTGCCGTGGCTTGTACTGTTGTTTACAGCATGATCATTAGTGGCGTGCTTAGAAGCTGCAAGACCGGAATGCTTGGTCGGCGTCGTGGAAGTTGTGGCGGCGCGTCTGCTATCACCGCGAGGAGCGGGTCTACGTCGTTGTTGGGCTGGTCGATGGGGTTTGGGGTATGGCTAGGCGGGAGCGGGGGTGTCGTCTTCGGTATCAGAGGCCCATGAGAGCTGGGAGTGGCGCCGGGTGGTGGCGTCTTTGTTTGATGTCTTCTTGAGAACGGAAGCCTTTGGGGGAACTCTGCTATCGATGGATGACGAGGTCTTACACTCGATACTGGGAGATGATGGTGGCGAGGTGGAAGGGCGACTGGAGGACATGTGCACCTCACTGGATCTTGAGCTGGCCGCTGAACTGCGAGATGACTCAGGGCTGGGTGGAGGGGCAGGGGTATCGTCAAGATCGATGAGCAGATCTGATACTTGGCTAGCACGGCGGATCGGTTGCGTGGCTGGCGCTGGTGGAGGAGTCAATCGTCCCAATGCAGCCGGTCTGGGAGACGGGCTCCTCTTGAAGATACCACGCGGCTGCTGCACATCGTCACCAAGTAGATCACGCTCTTCACTCTTCCTCGTTCGAAATGTCGAAGGGTCGGGAAACACCCTTGCTTCTGGTATCGCACCATCCTGGTCTGCATCATCATTCGCCGCTAGCCTTCGCTGCATCCAAGTAGGCGGCCTGGGACCGATAGCGGACTTCTCCTTCCACCACTTCGGTATACCTCTGATGAAGCCTAGTTCACGGAGCTTCTCGATGCCGGGCATTTCGTGTTTGAACTTGCACCCGATAGCCGTCCAATCACATTCCCCAGTCTTGATCCAGTGTGTGCAGTACTCTTTCTTGGAGGGGTCGGGCTCGATGCCAGATGGGTGGGGCACGCGGTATCCGAGGCGCTGCGCATCTTTCTGGTAGATAGAGGCGAAGGTGTCGGTGAGTGAGGACGGGCGTTCGGTAGTAGCGGTAGGGGTTGGACGAGGTGGTTCTGGTGAGTTTACAATAGCTGGAAGCTGCTGAGATAGTCGAGGAGACCGAGTGTTGCTTGCGGGCATCGTTTGCGGCTCCGCACGTACATGATGGTCTGGTGCCAGGTACCGTGACTGCGTCGTCGTAGTGGAGCGAGGCGAGAAGCTGCTGGATGTGGGCGCTTGGATCAGGAGAGTCGAAGAAATCTCGTCCGTCTCTGAGCAAAGCTTCCAAGCTCCATCTGAGATCTGGCGATGGGTCAACTGGCGTGGTATTCCTTGTAGTTGAAATGGCAGTTGGTCTACTGGTACCAGCGGGACCATTACGCTGCCGCGAAGAAGATAGTAGCGAAGACCCTCCGGAAGTGCCCAAGTGCTATAAGCTTGGGTAGTCATATCAACAAACAAACAACAAGGGAATCTCTGGATACAGATCGCTGTTATGGACACCCTTGGTGTAGTGAGTATACAAAGAGATGGTTGAAATACGACTTGGAAGGAACGGTGAGAGGATGAGATCCGAACGGTTGTGTTCCATTATATTCGCGGGTGTGCGACAGTGCTCAAGACAGCAATTCGATGTCTCTACCCGACGCAAGCAGTTTGCCGGCATCTGCAACCTTGCTTACCTGGCCGTCAAGCCATTGCTACAAATCAGGATGTCTAGCAGTCACCGAAAGTATGAAAGGATTGCCTGTGAGTTGAAGGTTGCCTGCGGATCAATCAGGGAGGATACATAAGCCTACCAAGATGGGATGAGAGTAACGCGTCCTGGAAGTTTGTGATACCGTGATCTGTCGCAACCCGTGCTGCGAATAAGCGACGGACTCCGCCAGAGCGTTGGCAAACTATGAGGAGAGGGTGAATAATCGCAGTGTCGATGATAGGGGTTTGTCCTCGTGGCTTGGACAGCACGCAATCGGCCCTAAGACATGGCGTAACGGCTGGCGGGATGGGGAACTGCGGTGTCTGCGCTTGCGATGCCGAACCACTCGCTCTTCGCTCCTCAAAACGTCGAAGTCGTGATGCTATTGTGGCGATCGCGGTGACAATGACGAGTAGATTACAAAATTGAAAGCCTTGAATATGGTGTACCGCACTGCCATGTGGCCAGGCCAGGTTAACCCTTCCGCTCAACGGGTATCCCTGTGCCGATCAACCGCGGCACGGCAATCGCCGTCCTGCCCAGGCCCGCCTAACCACAACTCCAAAACATTAGACTGCTTCAACCCGCGTTGGGCCATCACGGCTTTCGGATTCGGATCTGTGCCTTGGCCGTGGCAGCGTATGCCGTGTATCATCTTTTCCCAGCTTGAAGCCGCCGCTAGGAGTCTCCCTCCGCATCTCAACGGTTGGCCCTCCGGTCGGTACCGATGATGTCTGCACAAAGTCAATCTGCAGATCTACCACCTAATCTTCCGGCAGTTCACGTCTCGACCGAACATGTCAAAAGTTACTTGCATGATATTAACCGTGTGGCTTGTCCTGAGGAGATGCCTCCGTGTTGGGGTTGGCAGCTGAGGTATGCAGCCTAAGAGGCCGCCATCGAAGTTACCGCTCTTTCGCAACGAATAGACCGTCCGACACATCGTTCATGACTCGGTTAAGAACGCGATCTTCAATAGTGGGTCGTTGGCTTCCACTGGTCTTGCGCGGCAGGGCTTCTGGCCAGTTTCGGAGACTACGCGCCTGGGGCCACTATCAACGGTCCCTATGCTCCAGGGTCTGCTAATATTGGAGCCTTCCTCGGCATCCTGTTTGTTTGTCGATGAAGTTTTCCATCGCGTAGGATACGACCAGCAATAATCCGGATGAACGACTGTCGGTAACTATGAGAGATCGCATCGCTATAACGGTAAGACAACCAAGCTTCAATAGCCGGAAAGCATCTCCGACATGAGCAAAGACGACCGCAGTCCCGAAGTGTTCGCTGTGGCTGCACTGTTCTTTGTGCTCACATGGACGACTGTTCTCCTACGGATCTACGTACGCGCAGTACTGATGAAGACATGGGGAAAAGATGACTCGTATATGGTTGCGGCACTAGTAAGTTGTCACGTCTCGTGTTCAATCGGAGATTATACTGATCAAGTCTGTAGTTGACGTTCACTGTATACCTACCATGTCAGATCATTGCCGCGATGCACGGAACTGGTCGCCATCGATGGGAGTTGAGGGACAGCGATGCGAAGACAGCACTCTTGGTAACTGTAACGCTCTCATCACATTATTTGACATCTGACTCGATACAGTTCTGGTACCTGTGCGAGCTGTTCTACGTGATAGCGAACTGTCTACTCAAGTTTGCCATCGGCTACTTCTACCTACGGGTCGCGATTGAGCGCTGGCATATTTGGGCCATCAGAATACTCATGCTAGGCACTGTACTATGCGGTCTTGTCTACTTCTTTCTAGTCTTGCTTCAATGCATTCCTAGTAAGCATCAATCAAGCGCTCGTTGTCAAATTCGCTAACGGATCCAGTTTCGGACTTTTGGAACGTGCATCCCGCCTCAGACAGATGCATACACAACGGGCCAACTCTGGGGATTACTTATGCCCTCGCCGCCATCAACGCAATGGCTGATTGGGCATTCGGTTTGCTTCCTTTCTTCATTGTATGGGGCTTGGAGATGAGAACTAAAACAAAGCTACTTGTTGCGGGTATCCTTGCGTTCGCAGCGATTGGAAGCACAGGTACAGCCATCCGTATGGCATACATTCACACACTCGTTCAGGGCCCCGACTTCTTATATGCAACCACCGACGTCGCCTTGTGGAGCACTATCGAACCTGGCATCGGCATCACCGCGGGTAGCATCGCGACACTCCGTCCGCTCGTCCGCCACTGCCTATGGAAGTTGGGTCTTGCCGACGCACCCCGTGAGGAACGAGGCCGCAACTACTATCCCTCAGAAGAAGGTGGTCGCAAACGAAAACATCGCCGCGGATATCGTCGTAGCCTGAGCCCTTCTGATTTGGTACCCACGATTCCGGGTAATATGACGACCATACAAATCCATGGACCTCACGACATAGACCTGGAAGAGAACCTGTCCCCGCCGAAAATTGTCGTCACAGATGAAGATGTCCCAGAAACTCCAGAGGGTCAGATTATACACACTGTCACGGTTCAACAACAATATGAAGGCCCTGCAAGGCTTCCTGAGGCACCCCCGAGGCTTCAACTGCGCGATAGCTTGAGATATAGTTTCACTCGCGGGAGTATTTTGAGTCTTGGCAAGTTTCGCGTACCTGAATGAGCATCCAGAATGAGTACCCGATTTCTTACCGCCATCTCAATTGCGCAAGTATGCGATAACCTCACCTCAACCAGATCAGAGAAACATCGCAGACACACCGTAGACACACCGCAGATACACTGTATCACAAAGCCTATGTTGTCTCATCGATCCGTCATGTCGCAGCGCTTTGACAGACACGCAGCCCAACGTCACTGGATCAGTCGTCAGAAGAAAGCGTGAGAGAATTCAGAGCGTGGCTTCGCCTGCGCGAAACACACTCACCAACGCTGGCTGTCATTCACGTCATCCACAATTCTATCTCCAGCCGCCGCTCATGAGCTCTCAGTCTCACTCGCGAGCTTCCTCTGTACTACCACGATATCAACAGTACCCGTTTATATGTACTCTAGTACTTCACTAGCATCAGCGCGTTCACATCAGGAAGCCATACTGTTCACAGTATGACTGAGACTCCCACACCATCGACGAACATCTCCAGTCAGCCTCACGATGGTGATCCAACAAAAGACGACGAGTTACCCACCTTACCACCCAACAAAGAAATCCTCGCCTCCGCCATCCACATGACAAACACAACCCGCTTCCTCCACCTCCTCTCCTTCGCAAAAGCCCTAATCACTCTTCACGGGCCCTACACCACCCTCCCCACCAAATCAGTCTTCTCCCGCTCCCCAAACCCACGGTTCCCCCCATACCCCTTCTCCCCGTCCCTCAAATCCCTCGCCCTCACCTCTTCCCCCTCCTCTGGGACAGTTCCGTCGTTGTCTTGGAGGAGATTCTGTCTAGAGGTGATCTATCGCAAGAGTCTTTCGGTTGGGGGGTTTATGGGTTGGCGGCGGGGTATGTGCATCCTCGTCCTTCTTCTACGCCTTCCCGTGATGTGTGTCAGCAGAACATCTTCATGCAGCACAAAGCGAGGTTGCATGCTGCGCTTTGTATGATGCCAAGTTTGGAGGGGGGTGGGATGGGTATGGGTATGGGTATAGATAGTGGAAGGAGGACAACGACGGAGGCACTGACAAGGGCGAGACGGAATATACATACTCTAGGCCATATTCTTCTGTATGAGTTTAGGAAAGGGGGGTGGAAGAGGGTGAGGTGGGGACATGCGGTCATGGTTGCGGAGAGGTGGGTTGGGGCGTTTGGGGAGGAGGGTTGGGACGTGGTCGGTGAAGAAGGGAAGAAGGGGGAAGGGAGGCAAAGAAGTGGAAATGGAAAACGGGTTACATTTGAGTCTCCATGAAAGCCTTGGGCGTGGAATGGGAGGATGCTCTTCGATAGCTGAAGGGTGTATATTTGTAGAAGGCGGAGAAGGGGTGTATTATCGCTTGGAGAAAGGTGATTGGCATTTTGCTTTGCCATGCATTAAGACACGACCTTTGTCTGCGCGTGAATGAACAAGGGGGGTGCTGAGAAGATGCTCGGTGCGATTAAGTATTGACCACACCTGAACCGATAACCAAACCAGCGATTCTGGTTCTACAGGTATCATCACGTATGCCACGGTCGCGAATGCCCTCCTTCAACGCGTTACCACTGCCCATCACCTGACCATCCACACCTCCCCATTCCTCACTCCTCAACCCTTCCTCTCCACATCCCTACACCTCTTCACCCCCGCCCTCGCATTCGACACCCCCTCGCTAAACCCCATCTTCTTCGCCAAACTTGCCGCTTCCTCGTACTTCCTCTTCGCCTCCCCAATCTTGCCTTCCATTTCGAAGAACTCGCCTAGGTTATGCGTCGCGACGGCACAACCCATGTCGCACTCTTCATTCCGTTCAGGTCCTTCGATCTGGGCGGAGAGGGCGAGGGCTCGTTCTGCCCATTGCCGTGCTTGGTCGATGGCGAGGGACCGCGGGGCGGAGTTTGTGACGGGGAAGGAGGTGGGGGCGGGGGACATGGTTATTGCGTTGGAGGAGGTGGGCGGGGTTTGTTGCGCTAGGCAGGTGGATATGTTGTTCACTGGGGGGTGTTAGTGGGGATGGATAGGTGGAGAAGGTATGGAGGGATGTACTTAGGACGACGCTGTGGCATGAGGTGGGTGGGCAGAGTTGGAGGGCTTTGACGAAGAGGGGTGCGGCGAGGTAGTGCGAGTCGAACTGTTCGTAGTGTGTTCCGAGAGCTGGTTGTGTTAGCATGCCATGCGCGGGATCCGATTGTTCTTGCTGCCTACCTTCGAGTACGCCGCCCATCTCATCGTTGGTGAGCCAAGGCCCCTCGCCGTTCTTGACACCCTCCTTCTCCCGTCTTTGTTGTTCCTTGAGTGCGCTCTCAACCGCCTCCACCAGTCTCTTCTCTCCGTTCTCAGGCTCGTTGACATATCTCACATCGTAAAGTTGGCCCAGCTTCAGATTGATCTGCACCATGTTCTTCTTCACCCTGCTTCTATTCCCATTCGTCCAGTGTCTATCCGAGAACTCGTCGACCCATTTCTGGCAATCATTGCGCATAATCTCCAGCACATCGATAGCCAGACTGTAGTATCCCGCATCCTCAAACAGGGCGGCGATGGTGTACTTGACGCCCATGATCTCGTCGCTGAAGGGATCCATGCCCATCTCGTCGGCGAGGGCCAGCGCCTGGCGGAAGTGCTTGTTGGCTTCGCGGATGTCGAGCCATTGGCCGCGGCTGTAGAAGAGAGCTCTGCGCAGCTTCTTTGCGACGGGCTCGGGGAAGTTGTGGTAGGGCTTGATGATGACGTTCTTGTAGTACCACGGTATGTACAAGACGCAGATGCCGGCTACGAGGGCAATGGAGCCAATCGCAAAGGGGAACAGCACGGGGCTCTTGTGGTATTGCTCCCGGAACTGCTCCCGCATCGTGGAGCCATAGCGCCGCCCCAGGTGCTGGTGCTGCTGTGCTGGCCGCCATGGCTTAGCCGGCAGCTGTGTGCATCGTGTCAGCGGGGTTTGCGCTTCGCAGCGTGCGATTGCGCTCGTTCGGGGCACGGCGCGGGGGGCCGTCCTGCTCAACATGGTGCGCCGGGCAAAGGCAAAAAGATGTGGGCGATGGCATCTGGCAGTTGGTGGAGCGAGTGCATGACGGAACGAACTTTTAGTGCCCGTCGCGTGCGTTCCGCGTAGGGCTGAGTTCGTCATGACGTAGCCAATCACCAACGCGCCGCATCGCGTTGCTGTAGACCTCACAACAATGCACTGAACCTCTTTAAATATGTGTGGAAGGTATGCGCTGGCCTTGGTGAGTAGTTACAGTCACGTGAAATACAATGCGACAACTGACCGAGACACCAGAGGCCTTCGGAGGTCCGCCAGCAGCTCGAGCAGTCGCAGATGCCAGTCGCAGAGGCACCCGACGACGACAGCAACGTGCGCCAGAGTTACAACTTCGCCCCCGGCTATCATGGGCTTGTATACCGGGCAGACGGTCCCGAGACTGGAGGCCAGGAGGAAGGTGCGACGGAAGACACCAAGTACAAACTGCAGTCTATGCAATGGGGTAGGCTCACCCACTTACGACCTCGTACGTCACTGACAGCATGCGACAGGTCTCGTGCCATTCTGGACGAAGCGCAACCCCGACTACGGCTCCAAGATGAAGACGATTAACTGCCGCGACGACTCGCTCTTCGAAGACCGCGGCATGTGGACGACCATGAAGAAGAAGAAGCGCTGCATCATCGTGGCACAGGGCTTCTACGAGTGGCTGAAGAAGAACGGAGGCAAAGAGAAGCTGCCACACTTTACCAAGCGCAAGGACGGCCAGCTCATGTGCTTCGCTGGACTATGGGACTGTGTGCAGTTCGAGGATTCGAGCGAGAAGCTCTACACCTACACCGTCATCACCACCGACTCGAACAAGCAGCTCAGCTTTCTGCACGACCGCATGCCCGTCATCTTCGATAACGGCTCAGACGCCATCCGTACCTGGTTGGACCCGACTCGCACAGAGTGGAGCACAGAACTGCAGTCGCTGTTGAAACCATACGAGGGTGAGCTGGAGTGCTACCCGGTCAGCAAAGACGTAGGCAAAGTCGGCAACAACTCGCCATCTTTTCTCGTGCCAATCAACAGTGCAGCCAACAAGAACAACATTGCCAATTTCTTCGGTAACCAACGAAAAGCTGCAGAGACCAAGGCGGAGGAGCAATCCGTCGACAAAGCACAGCATGATCTGGACGCCTCGACAGACAAAAAAGGTCAGATCAAAGTCGAGCACGACGCTGATGAGACGCGTGTCACAACCGACCGCGTGGAAGGTACCGAAGATAGCGCGCCATTGCCCATCCCAGCGACGTCGCCAAAAGGCATCAAGCGGGAGCACGACGATGTGACCGATGGCATCGCAGAGTCTGAGCCACAGCACAAGCGCAACAAACCCACCGCGTCTGTCTCGCCCACCAAAAGCCCTGCGAAGAAGTCAACTCCCGCGAAGAAGCAAGGTACCAGAAGCGCCACGAGTAACGGCAGCGCAGCAAAGACGTCCAAGGCGGATGGTTCGCGGAAGATCACATCCTTCTTCAGCAACAAGTGAGCGCAAGTTTCTAAACACCATCCAGAGCATTAGGCGGTTTGGCGGTGAAGAATGAGGTCCATTTAGGCTTGCTGCCTTGTGCGCTATACCGTCCGGCCTATAGTCCAGGGGCAAACGGCAGCGCAGGCACATGTGTGCGCGGAGATGCGGTCGTAGAGATGTACATGGTGGAGGATTTGAGAGGAAAGCCCTTGCGGAGTGAGCATGTCCGCGGTCGCAGATGGGCGCAGACATAGAAGTACCGTCCTTGCCCCGCGCTAATAGTGGCGGGGATGGGCGAGCGGCCATCTAGCGGCCGTCGAAACCTCCAAAACACCACCAATCCTGCCTGTTGGAGCTCTCGACGCTCTGCGCAACCCATCCGGAGCGTGTTCCTCCAATGCTTATCCCTGCATGGCCCGAAGATGCGGCGACTTGACTCAATCTACTGAACGCCCTCTTGGCTTTATCCTGCTTGCACCTCGTGATCAAATATCAGCTGTCGTCCAAAAAGTAGAGCACCAACACCCTAACCATTGCCTTCCGCTCGCTTTCGTATCCAGAAAGCCCTTGTCTCTGGCAATCTCCCGCTCACTAGCATTGATGCCAAGACTTGTCGCTTCCGCGTTCAACCCTAGCCGTTCGCGTTCCTGACACGATGAACTCCAACATGGCGTCTTTGATGGACCTTGTGTCCCAAAACCAGCCCAAATTCCAAACACACCAAGCCCTTGTTCTTGTTGGACTCCAGAACGACTTTGTGACATCAGAAGGACGACTGCCGGTTGACACCCAGACGGGCTTTTTGGAGCGCATCCAGACTTTGATTCCGAAGTTCAGGGAGCTCAGCGGCAATGTCATTTGGGTCCAGACGCTGTACGAAGCCGATCGCATCGCGACCGGTGCCGACACGGGTGCAGGAGACACGCTTGTCGTAGAAGGGCTGCTCGACGGCGAGGAAAACAACAATGAAGCTGAGGAAGAGTTAGCCAAGGAAGCAGCGTCACTCCCAGCGCCATCCAGATCCTCAAAACACAAGGAACGCGCGCTAGCCCTGCTGAAACGCGTGTCTGCACGACGAAAGACGCTGCCAAAGGAAGTCGCAAAAGCCAAGGCTGAGGAAGACGAAGAGCTGTTCCTGTTGAAGAGCGAAAAGAGAACTCCAGCATGCGTGCCCGACACGCGTGGCGCCGAGTTTGCAGATGCGATCGCGAAGCAAATCGAGCTACCTGCGGACGTTGTGATACAAACGACCAACTACTCCGCCTTCCAGGGCACCGACATGCTCATAACTCTGCGCGCAAGACTCATTACCGAACTCTTCATCTGCGGATGCATCACCAATGTTTCTGTGCTGGCGACTGTCATCGATGCAGCAAGGCATGGTGTCAAGATTCATGTTATAGAAGATTGCTTGGGCTTCCGCAAGGAAAGTCGACATGAATTGGCGCTGAAGCGCATGGAAGACTTCTTCAGCACGTATCTGGTCAATAGTGAAGAGATACTCAAGGAGGATACGACGATAATTGCGACAAAGACGTCAGCGCCTGCGGATAGTACGAAGAGCGAGCAGACTATGGAGGAGCGTATGGCCAAATTGTCCCTTGCAAGGGACATTATTGAAAAGAGGGCTGCACAGGGTGCTGCAGGTGCCGCGGAAGATAAGACAGAAGGGGACAAGCCGGAACTTGTCAAGTCCAAGGTTCGAATGAGGAAGAATAGGAAGAGCAAGAAGAAGGCGAAGGATAGAGAAGCATCAAAGGAAGATGGTGAAGAGACGAATGGCGAGCCGAGCACGTCTGCGAACCAGGTTACGAAGGATCCATCTCCGCCAATCACAACGGCACCGACAGTTATACCACATTCCGCATCGACTGAGCCTCAACGAATGTCCAAGATTGCGAAAGCCGGAAGCGTGGCAGATTTGCGGCAGAAGGAAGGGAAGCAGCATATGCTGAAGAATGCTAGCTCGGTACCTGCATTGTCCGCGAAAGCTGGTGATGAAAAGGAGAAGAACAGGTTGACTGAACTTTCGGATCGCGTGCGCATGTCACTCACTAGGGCACCAAAGTCTGAGTCGGGGTCTGAGTCAAAGAGAGGGTCCATCAGTTCTGCAAAGCCTGCCCCGACCACCCCGAAGCAAGACGACAAGGAAATCAAGCAACCGACTGTAGCAGCCGCACAACCAGAACAACCTACTGTGAGCACGCCAGAAGCCGATTCGCCTCCGACGACACCTGCGAAAGCCGCAACGATGGGCAAGCCCCCCAAGTTGCAATCACTCGCAACGTTCCCTGTCCTGGGACCTGGCGACCACATCGCAGAAGGCGACTCACGCATCATCCACGATTTCTTCCCCGCCGACTTCTTCCACCCAACCGAACCATCAAAACCACTCAAAGACACCATCTTCACCCATCTCTACAACGAAGTACGATGGCAAAAGATGCTCCACCAACAAGGCGAAGTACCGCGTCTAGTATGCTGCCAGGGCGCCTTTGGCGACGACGGCTCAATGCCCGTATACCGGCACCCATCCGACCAAACCCTGCCCCTGCTGCGCTTCTCCCCCAAAGTCCACATCATACGAAAGCGCGCCGAGGCGCTCGTCGGCCACCCACTCAACCACGTGCTAATCCAACTCTACCGCTCCGGCAACGACTTCATCTCCGAGCACTCTGACAAAACACTCGACATCGTAAAAGGCTCCTCCATCGTCAACATAAGCTTCGGTTCGCAACGCACAATGCGGCTCCGCACCAAGAAAACCCAGTCACAGTCAAATGCAGACGACACAGACGGAAGCACAACCGAGCGCTCAACCCAACGCGTCCACCTCCCCCACAACTCCATGTTCATCCTCGGCCTCGCCTCAAACGCAAAATGGCTCCACGGCATCCAGCCCGACAAGCGCCTGCTCACCGAACGCAGCGAAACAGAAAATGCGTATGGAGGCATACGCATCAGCCTGACGTTCCGCCACATAGGCACGTACCTCGACTGCCGCAGCACCATCATATGGGGCCAAGGCGCAAGTTCGAAAACCCAACGCGACGCCGCGGATATCATATCGAACGACGAGGCGGAGACGAAACGCCTCATCACTAGTTTCAGCCGCGAGAACCACGGCAGCGAGTGCGACTGGGAGAAGTGGTATGCCGACGGCTTCGACGTGTTACACCTGCACGACCCCCCTCCCGCCGACACACCCCTGTTATTCCTATCCAACAACAAGATAGAGAACGAACAAGTCCTTATCTGCCTAACCGAATCCAAAATCCCGTACACGGTCGTTGAACCGCTGGATCTGGATAAGGAGTTTGAACAGGACAGACAGATTACGTTCCGCGACACGGATGCTCAGCATGCGGAGATTACGACAGCGATGGGTGTGCTGTTGTATTTGGATCGGTATTATCCGTGCGATAGAAGCCATAGCGCGAATTTGGTGAGCGCGAATGCGTTGACGGTTTTGCGGTTGGCGGAGGAGATTTTGGGGGTCTGGCGGAATACACGGAGACATGGGGAACGGGATGGGAGTGGAGGAATGAGGGGGGATACCCCTACGACTCTTACTACAACTCCCACTACCGTCGCCAACGATGACTTGCAGAATCTACTAGCGCGCCTAGAAGAGACTGTAGAAAGAAACGGCGGCCCTTTTATCGCAGGAAGTAGATTCAGCATTGCGGATGCGTTCCTCTGGCCGGTTTTGCATGTCTTGGTAGGGGAGTGGGAAGGCTGGTGTGTAGCTGGTAGTGAGAAAGATGGTGGTGAAGCTGAGGTAAGATTTGCGAAGTTGGATGAGTGGTATCGCGGGTGTTGGAAGAGGAAGGCGTGTGTTAAGAAGGTGGCGGGGGAGTTGGCTGTGCCGAAGTCGAGGAAGAAGGAGGAGGGGGGTTAGGTTTAGGTGTGGGTATAGTGGGAGGGGGAAGTTGAGGGGGAGTTGGATGTAAGGTGGAGGTGGAGGTGGCAGATGCATGGCAGGTGATGGAGAGGACTGGTCATCGGATTTTCTATTAATTACAGAGGGGTTTGGGCTTTTGTACTACTGATTTAATAAACATGATAAAGAGGGATATGAAACGACTTGAGACGGACCGTTTGATCAATCATGAAGAGAAAATGTTGACATTAAACCCGTTGTGTATAATAAAGCCATCTATTCCCCGCCATCCCGTGGTGGGGAAGAAGCCGGAGAAGATCATAAGCCTTACTCTCTGTGTCTATGTAGAGAGTAGAAAGCAGGCATCCGCTGCGTCGTACTAATCTCGAGGACTAGACTGTATGAGTATATACACTGTACACCAACATCAACCCCCTCCTCCCCCTTCACCCCTCTCATCCGTCGCGAAAAAGCCCACCCTAAGAGCCCCCCGCAGCATTACTACTAACCGTCCTCTTCCACCCACCCCACCCCCATCCACCACCCGTCCCCGCGGCGGGTTCTTTAGGAACAGGACTAGGCGTCACAGCCGGCGTTTGAGTAGGCGTCGCGAAGGGACTCCCTCCCATCGGGGATCCATTCCCACCGTTCCCACTGTAGCCTCCACCATTCGCCCCATTGCCACTACTCATAACACGCTTCATACCCTCGAACCTACTCCTCATTTCCTCGAGTTCCTGGCGCGCAACTGCTTCCGCCGTCTTGGCGTTTACGAGTTCCAAAAGGAGAGCTTCGCTGTCGGCGGGTGTGTTGTTCTCAGTCGCAAGCACACTCTGTGTAGCGAGCGAACTACTCCTCTTTGAAAACGGGACCGGCGGAGCAGGGGAATTGTAATACCCTCCTCTCTCGCTCTTCTGGCTATTCGTCCTGCCGAGCCGTAATTCCCGCAATCCACTCGTGTTGATGCTGTCAGAAGTTGTGGAACGGGATAGTGTGGGTGGTGTGTCTGGCGCATTCCCATGGCTACTGTGATCCACGCCCGTCCAACTCGCAGCTGCAGACTGCTTCCGCGCGTTTTGGCGCAGTTCTTGGATGTTTTTCTCGAGGCGCTGGTTTGCGTTGTAGCTATCTTGCAACCTATGCCGCGTATCTTTGAGCGCGTCACGTGCGATTTGCAATTCTGCGTCGCGGTCCGACAGATCGCGGGCCAGGGCATTAGCGCGCAGGGTCTCGTTGGCGAGTTGCTCTTTCGTGCGGGACAAGTTGTCGCGGAGGAGGGCTTTTGTTTCGAACATGGAGGAGGCGCGGTGGTGCAGTGTGGCTGCTGGAAACCGGGATTCGAGCGTTTCGACGATTTCAGAGGCTTCTTCTGTGAGTTCGGGGGTGGAGGCGGCGTCATCGGAGGAGGAAGGGGGCAGCGTGGTTGCGGAGGTAATTGTTGTGCGGCGGCGGGAGGAACGGGTGGAGGGTGCGGCGAGGGTGGTGGTCTTTTTGCGGACTTTGTCGACGACGGTGCGGACGATGCGGTGGTCTTCTTTGCGGTCTTCGCGCTGCTTTTGGAGGGCGGCTTCGAGTTCGCTGTTTTGGCGTTGCAGTTGGCTTACCGACATGAGGAGTTGCTCGATTTGATAGTGTAGGTCCCGGTCTTTTGACGATGCGCCCATGGCCATGGAGCCGTGTCCCGACTTCATCGACAGCGCGTCGCCATTCGAGGCGCGCGAAATATCCGTCATGGCTGTACTTTGTGTCGCAGCAGAAGCATCGGATTCGGCAGTAGAGTTGAGTGTTGAGGCGAGACTCTGCTTGGACGCCGAGCGCCTGAGGAAGCTAACAGGGCGTGAAGGCGCGGAGAGACCCGGGCTGAGTGAAACGGACTTGGTCGAAGAGTTGGAGGGACCCCACAGACGGCCCAGGAAGCTCGTGGCAGATTTCTGGACTTGCTGCTTGGACGAATCCTTCTCCTGGGCCTCCTTGTACTGCTGCTCCAATCCCTGCAACCTTTCGCGCGTCACGTCGTTTGTGAAACCAACGAAATCACCGACCAATTCATCCGCCGACCCCGCGTTCCGCCCGTATGGGTCCCAGAGTTGGCGCCCCAAAAGCAACTGCATCACGTCCTCGAACTCACTCAGGGACAGCAGCTTTTGCTCGTTGCGCTTCATTAGCGCGAGGGCTACCCGCATGATCGTCTCGGATGCGCCCTCGGCAAATAGTACGTCGTAGATGCGAAACAGCATGGGTAGCGGACATGTGACAGCGAAGAAAGACAGGAACCATTGCGATAGATATGCGGATTGCACTTCTAGATCGTCAAGATGCTGGGCTAGCTGAGGCATGTGTTGGTGGAGCAGCTTCTGGAACTGGAAGATGCGGAGATGGAGGCCAGAGAGGTCCGGCAGGAAACACGAGCGCAGATCGTAGTCTTCCATGAGCCTGGTGTTGTTAGTCGCTGACGTTGTGAAGAAAGTGCGATGACCTACCTCACGAGCACGCAAAAGGCTTCCTTGTCGCCCATCTGCATGAGCAGCGGGCCAACGAGGAAACCAAGACCCTGGCAGTAGCCAATCTTGTGGTCGTACAAGCTGAAGCACTTGAGCACGCGGCCGAGCATCTTCTGCCCCTCGCCTTCAGGGTCTTTGAACATCTCCACACCGGGGAAGCTGCGTCCCAAGTCCTTGTTGATGATGTTCTCGTACGGACTCGACTCTCCGCACAGCGAGTCATATTGGTCCTCGATCAGCTTCTCTCTCGAGCCAGCTGCACTCTGCCAGACGACGCCCCGCAGCGGCGCTGGTATGCCTCCCCGAATCTTATTCAAGCAGAGCGTGGGCAGTCTGTGGACGGTCTGAGGGTAATCGCGTACGAGGGCAGCCCAGAACTCGAGTTCGGTCATGGGTGGCGGCGAGGGCAGCTGGGAGAAGCGCATGGTGGAGGTGTCATCCGCCACGAGGCGCTTGAGCTGGTTGAAGGAGGGGGGCCGTGACTGGCTGCGGGCGCGGGCGACCTTCATGTTGGACTTTGAGTTTGAGAGGATGGCTTCGTTCTCCTGCTCTAGTCGGGCGAGCAGCAGGGCCATGGCCTAGATATGTTAGTATTCGTTGTTCACACAGGGGCCGGGCTACACACCTCCTCCTCGCCCTCGGGCTCCTGTTCTTCCTTTTTCTCTAGCTCAGCCCAGTCGACCTCTTCGCTTTTTCCCGAGCCATTGCTAGTACGGCGCCCCCTGCAGTCTGGCGCTGCTGTCTTGGGGGAGACGGGTGCGTCGGTGTCCCGCACTGAGATGGTAGGGCTGGTCGGGGCGGGCGTGTCGACGCTGGATTGGCTCGCCCGCCGTCCGAAGGCATTGCGGATTTCCGTTGAGTTGGTTCGTGATGATGCTCTTCGCTCCTCAACTATAATCTCTGGCCGCATCACCGATTCCCTCGCGCCTTCCTCTTCCTCTGGGGTTCTGCCGTCCGTCTCGGAGAGGGGCACTGTGACCATCGAGTCTGTCGGCAGCGGCGAGCTGTCCACGTGTGACCTGGGCGCGCGCTCGACGGCTTCTTCTTTCACCTCCATGGTGATGCTTCCGCTGGACATGTTTGCTGTCTTCACGGTGGTGGTTCGATATGACGGAGCGGAAATTTGCTCTCCGCCGCGGCAGGTAGAAAGAACAGACCTGTTTACCTGGGGCGCTCGGTTCGGTGGTGCTGGTGTAGAGCGTGTTTCACTTGAGTGGAATTAGTATGCTGGCGCCGGCTTGAGTCGTGCACGCTGTGACTCTCTGGGTATTACTCTGCAGGCGGCATTCATGCGAACAGAAGAAAGTCAGAGCGACGGCGCAACAGCTCACGGCAGCACGAAAAGAGCGCGACGGACCGCAAAAGAGGGAATGATTTCCCCAACGGCCTCGAAAGGAGCATCAAGGAGGCCCTGGACTAGGCCCGCAGCCAGCTAGACCCTCTTGGTCAGGGTCCACACTCGCCTTTGCTGCTTAATTTACGGCGGGACCAGCTGCTGCCCCTGGCCCCGCATCCCACCTACACCGACCTCACCTCCGCCTTTCCTATGGATCGAGCCCTTGATGCCACTGATTTCGCGACCAAGCGCTGATGTCACGACGCTGCCACTGGCAGCTGTCACAGCCATGCACGCGCAAATGGCGTGCACGAGGGACACGCGACGTAAACATGCGCGCCCACGCTAATTTCGGCGCCGGAGCCAATCACCGCCGCCGACACTCCGCATCCTCCTCACCAAGACCTCCCTCCAACCCCCTCCGTCCGCATCGAGCGATTGCGCTCCTCCCATGCCCTCTTGAGTCGGCAGCTTCCTCCGTCGTGCTTGGCATCGCTTAACCGGGACGGGTGGTAATAGTACCTCAACACCTCCAGGGATTAACAAGAGACTACTCGAGTGCCCCTGCAGACCGCCTCTTGCTACGGCACAGTTGCTCCACACGAACTGCCCATCTTTTCCGTCTCTCGCGCCGAACTAGATGTACTCGCGTAGTTTGGGTTCTGGATTGCGACGATCAGTGGTATTCTCCGCTGATGCGAGTCTACAGTTATCTCCGTCAACTACTACCGTGATCGAAACTTTCCTCATGTGCTGGAAGAATATTACGACCCATGTTATCTAGCGGCTACAGCGACTGGACGCGGTGGATCTCGATTTAATAACGACAAGATACGAAAATTTCGGTCTTGCATTCCTACTTGTTTTATTTATGTTCCCATGTTCCATGCAATGCCGGAAGAACGCCCTGCCAAAAGTTTGATTCTCGTCATCATGCCGCAAGATGAGTGACGTTCAACGAGAATTCTCGTCTTCTGATAGAAGCTCACCACAGCCTATCTCGAGAACCATCACGCGAAGGTAGGCGCACAAGAAACAGTGAGTGTATAGCCCTTCTCGTGCTGTCTTGGACTTTGCTAAGAACAATCTTTAGTTAGGTCCACGTGGGTACCATCACAACCGACGGACTCCAGCAAGCTGATGCTCTTCGCGAACCCTTCTCACCCCAGAAAAGATAAAAGATGTGTATCACGCAGAGTTGTGATAACCCTGCCTTCTTGAGCGATTCACCATTAAAATTCGGATCTATATACACCATGCAGAAATCACAAAGCACCCTATTCACGTCTTGATATATCAACTTCCAGCAAGTATCGTCCCTGGGCCGAAACAGTGCTTCGAATTACACAATGACTGACAACCGGTCTCCTTCACTATGTCGTTCTTTCCGGATAGAAGCTTTGACCATCTTTGTAATTATCTACACTGTTTTTTACACCTTCACAAGGGTCTAGAAACAACTCGTGAATGGCCCACAGCAAGAAGCTAGGCTTCTATCATTCTGGTCACTTCTCTGGTTACTTTATACCCCGCTCCCCATCCGTTGCTTTCCAAGTTTATACTTGCTGCTCACGTCTATCAACTGTAACAATCCACCACCCAGTACCGCTGCGATGTCTACCAAGCGAAAGAACGAAGCGCCTAGTACACCAAAGCCCGCGAAGAAAGCCAAGACAAGCGGCACTCCCACGCGCACATCTCCGCGAAACAAGAAGAGCGGTAGTGAGACACCACCCGCGAAGAGCCCTGTTAGGAAGCCGAGGAAGCCGGCGCATCCCGGATCAAAAGCAGTCAAAGCCCCAGACGAAGACGCCAACTTCGAATGGGAGATTCTAGGCGGCGACGAACGCTCGACGCTCGTCGTCGGTGAGGCTCAACCAAAACGGCTGACACTTACGTTCCACCATCGACATGACAACAACGAGACAGATCGAACCTTTAAGTACGACAGGAGGGGAGAGAAAGAGATCAACTGGAACAACAAGGACCACATTAGAGACATCAACAAGTGGCGCAATCAAATATTCGTCCAAAACATGAAGTTCCCACCCAAGGTCACACACACACCATGGACTCCGTTCGAGACCGCCTATCTCGAGCTGTTCCATGAGAAGCTCCTGGAAGCTGCGACTGGCAAGACGGATACCTTCGTGGCGCCACATAACGAGCTCATATTTGAAGCATTCAACGACTACTTCGAGGGTCGGACCGATATCCGAGACAAAAGCAACGAAGTCATAGAGGAGGCTCTCGGTACCAGACCCCCGGGTGGGCTGAATTCGTACCTCAATCGTGCTGGTACGAATATCCGTGGCCTGCGAGATCGTATGAGAGCACTCGAGCCTAAGCTCAAGAAGAGCAAGAAGGAGGATGCTTGGATGCCTGACATCACGGACGACGAGATCGAGCAGTACATCAAAGGAGATTGGCAACCGGCTGTCGATACTGCTGCTACTGCTGCTGATGATGATGAGGATGAAGAAGGGAATGAAGCTCAAGCTGAGGATGAAGGTGAAGGAGAGGATGAAGATCAAGCTGAGGAAGAAGACAACGGTAATGTCTCCGATGGCTCTACTCTTACCACACCACCTGACACCGACGAAGAACTCGAAAGCATGGAGATTCTTGAGCGCGAACAACAAGCTGAGCGTCTGGTAGTCAAGCTCAAGCTTAAACCCAGCACAGCCAGCAAGTTTCCAGGAAGCAAACGTCCAACCACCAAGCCTACAGTCACCAAGCCCACGACAGCCAAGCCTACAGTCACCAAATCTACAGGAGGCAAACATCCTACCAGCAATCCCGCATCAAACACGCGGAGTACTAGTAAGGCCACCTCGGGCAGGTCAAGCACCCGTTCTTCTTCGCCACCTCCCCGAGAGAAAAGCACCAAGAAGACGAGCCCCGCCAAGAAGACGATGACTGATCCACGGAAAGCAACGGAAGCGCCCGAACCGAAATCAAAGCCGCGAGTTATTAAGCCCGTTGAGACACCACCAATACCCACCCATCCAGACGTCATTGCCTCTCTCAAGGCTAAGGGCTACACATGGACTGAACTACCCGCGACCAATGAAGAGGCTATCAGGGTGCATCAGGAGGCGCAGAACGCGAAGCCTAGTGAGAATGCGTGGATCGAAGAAACCAAGAAGAACCTGGAAGATCGCATCGGAAGGCAGACAAGTGCGGATTTCGATCGCGAGTTCTTCAATAAGGATCTAAAACAGAGATATGAGGGCAAGGGCAAAATGGTCAACGTGGAGGATTGGCACGAGAAATCTGCACGCAGAGCCGGAGCGGCGGAAGTTACTGCCCTGCTCAACACCGCTGATATTCCACCCCTCGGTTACACAGGTGACATCCGGGATCTCCACAAGAAGAGGCTGTTATCGGAGGACGAACTCGAGTTGGCTGACGCACGCGAAGCTGCCATCCCTCGAATGCATGACGCAGTCGAACGCGCGCGACAGATGAAGATCAAGGAAGAGTCTGACAAAGACCCCAACTTGAAAGCGAAGCATGATCGGGCTGCAGCTATGCAAAAAGATGTGGCCTACGATTCAGACATTACGACCTCGGGGGAAGATACAGATGAGGAGTTATGATCGAGCAGATGTGGACGTTGATGTATTTGCTGGACAGCAAATCAGGTGTCGCAGTGCGAAAGGTCATCAACTACGAAGCTACCGGATTGGTCGCTCGCTACTACTAGCTAGAACAATGAAATACACAGTGCACTATTCATTATTGCAATAACGTCCATGTGACGCTGAAAACGTTTCTTTATCATAAACAAAGCACCCGAGTATCGGGAGGTACCGGCACTCGAGAAGACGACGAACAAAGCGAAAACTTTGACCTTGAAAATGGCTACGTTGTCCGTATCGTCCTCGATACTCGAGATAAACATCGCTTGACGCAGTACCACATAACGCTTCGCAGGACGAATCAGAAAAAGTGCCTGACACGATGGTAGCGGCGACTAGATCACAAACCAAGGATGCGCCTGGGGCCGCGCAGACAGCTTCATCATCTCTACTGGTCAATCCTACCGTTCAAGAGAACTGGCCCGCTAATCCGACGACGCCAGCAGAGTTCAGTGCATGGATGGCTGAAACCAAGGCCGCTTTAGAAAAATGGTTGAGAGAAGCCGAGGCAGCGGACAAAGACCCGGCGATCGAAGAGACCATTGACAACTATAACAAAGAAGCGCTAGAGAGATGGCAACCATTTGAACGACAAACGGACGTAGAAACGGGCATTATCCATGATGCAGCGCAGCAAGCGGCGATGAAAAGAGCCGTGTTGCGCGAAAGGAGAACGTGCGAGAGCATACACGACGAGCACAGGACGTGGCGAAAGTTCGTCGAGTACCGATACGCGCAATCTGCCTGGGAAGACTTCCTATACTACCAGAATGTATGGAATAGAAGAGGACATGAACCGTGGAAGATATATAGCGTAACAGCTGCCGAGCAAAGATATCATGAGGCACTAGGATCGCTCAGTGCGAAAGCAAGACAGCATGTGGAAGACTTAGACTCCAACGAGGATACAGTAGGAAGACCACCGAAAAACCACCAGGCCAAGGATCCAAAAACCCACAAGCCGGGTACTCACAACCAGAACAAGCTCGACCGAACGAAGATCAACGCCTACACCGACGCCTTCCACGACCCTTACATGGTCTGGCTAAAGCACATGATCGACCTGTACAAAGGAGCGTGTCTCGGATATCGGAAGCGCATTCCCGGCGTTGTGGCTCCTGAGAATGCGCATCGGTATAGCCAACCACCTCGTGGTACTACACCGCGAAGGACGCCACGCTATCACCACCGCCATCGTCACATTGAAGAAAGATTTCCGCGTGTGATACGGCAGCAGATAGATAGGGCGGAGGATGAAGAGGGGTATCGGACGAAAGCGCAGAGAAGCCGGGATATGCGGCTTGCAAGGAGGGGTAGAATGGAGTCGATTACATGGAGTATCGACGAAAAGGCCTACGAAACCATGAAAGCCGAGAAGGAGAAGGAATACAGCAAAGACCCACTCACCATATCTCTCCTACCCGACGGTCACAAACCCCACCACGGCAGCTTAGAAACAAGTTTCAACTATCCCACATCCTTCGACACCCCCGTCTCCACCATCCTTAAAACCATCCAAACACGAGACCACGTCTACGAACCCCTCAGCGACCCCTCCCCCTCCCCCTCCCCCTCCCCCTCCTCCCCCAAAAGCAGAAAAAGGTTCTTGAGCTACAAGAAAGACGAAAACGGAGCGCGTATCAAGAAAATCGACAAAAGACCACACTACCAGCGCGAAATCCACATGCGCGAAGGCCTCGTCTTCGAACACCAGATGCGCGCCGATGGGACGGTAGAAGGGCGGGACCGCAACGGAGATTGGATTGGAGATTGGGTACCGGGGCAGATAGCTACACCCGTTTGGGTTTACGATGGAGATGGTGAGCGTATCCTTTTACCACCGCGATATGAATCGAGGAATAGATTTTCTACTTTCCTGGTCAAGGAATCTCATGTTAGGGAGACGCGGCGTCAGCGACAGGAAGGTGCGGAACGGGAGTATGAGGTATCGGATGATGAGGATGGGGGATGTGTAGACTCGAATGCAAACTTCCCGAGGTCGGGGAATGTTAATCCGGAGTTGCTGGGTAATCCTTGGGCTTCCAACTTCGACAGCGACGAAGAAGGGGGAGAAGGTGAAGGTGTTGGTTATCCTGGTGACAGCGATGACGATGATAGTGACGATGACGGCGACCTGTTCGCGCAGTCTTATAGGGAGTGCTCGGAGAGTCCGGCGACGAGACAAGCGCGGTTGTTGTTGGAGGATATGCGGGAGAGGTTTGGTGTGCTGGACAGCTGGACTGTTGAGAACGTTAGGGATTTGCAACGGCATGGTAATGATGGTTCCGTGGTTGTTGGGGATGAAGAGATTATAGATTGGTATAAGAGCGACGCGGAGGGGTCGTAGGTCGTAGGTATGATTGATGTTTGCTGTCTCCCTCAAGTTCGAATTGCCTGTGTCGTGTGAGCTCGACCAGACTTGATACTCGACTTTCAGCAGCGCGCGCCGAACGGTGTAGTGAAAGACACGAATCGGTGGCGCTAATCCGTTGCGTGCTCGAAAACCTAAGGTAGCCACCGCGCACTGACCATCACAACAGTGAGCAGTCGATATCTATTTGCTACAAGTTAGCAACCACCTACAATCAACTCGATAAAGACACCCGCAACCCTTTGTCGCACTCTAAGCGCCTTACTTCAACACGAAGCGTCCGCCAAAGCTCTTCGCATAGCCATCATGAGTGACATCATCCTACCAGATGCGGCCGCCGCAGAAGAAAGCCGTCCCCAGGACACATCCACACCCACTCAAGATGTTCCTGATGAGGTGGCGCGCACTCCCCGCAACATCGAAGATGCGGCGTCTCCAGAGGAAAGCATCCCCCAAGACACGTTCACAATCACACAAGACGTTACCGATGAAGTAGCGAGCACTCTCCGGAGCATCGAAGACGCCGCGTCTCCAGAAGAAAGCCGTCCCCTGGACGCACCCACACTCACCCAAGACATTCCCGATGAGGCAGCGCGCACTCCCTGGAGCGTTGATGAGTGCCTTTTCATCCAGTTGCAAGCCGGCTTTGCACTTGCCGCCGCCTTCCTGCCCATCTGTACAGTACTCCCGCCGACTGGTCAGAGCTACTACTACGTCTTTCGCCGGTTCTTTAGGACTGCAGATCAAGATGCATCCGAGACCACTCCCGAACAGGACGCCGCCGCAAGCCCGAGAACCCAAGAAGAGTACCTGCTCAAACAACAGGAGCTGGTACACTGGGCGCTGAATAAGACGGATGAAGTGGCGCGGAAGGCGATGAAAACCGGAGAGTTCATGAGGGGTAAGATGTGGATAATCGAACAGGAAGTCTTCGACAAGTACCGAAAGATTCGCGAAGAGTATGGCCTCGAATTGCCGATCGAAGACCCGAGGCAGACCAAGGAGATTCGCGAATTCCTGTACCGAATCGTTTGCGCAAGGTTCCCGAAGTCGTTGGGACATAGTCCCACCAGCTCAGATGCGGACGAGAATCGCACCACTACGGAAGAGACTGACGACGACATGTATGAAGGCTCTACTCGTAGCTCTCCGCCTGAAGACGAGTTTGAGAATACAGAGAGCGCTTCGCCGGTGGAGGAAGATGCACCTGTCGAGAAGGACACTACGCAACGTACCAGAACAAGGGCCAGAAAGCCCATCGCCGCCCCCGAAGGCAACAACGCATCCCCACCAGTCCGTCAGTCCGGTCGAAAAGTCCTTGTAACCGACAAGGCGAGAAAGGCGCAGACAGGTACGAAACGCACCAGGCGAAACACTGCGGTGGAGAACGAGAGCGAAGACGAGGATGAGGATGGAGAAGAAGACATCGCGGAAGTTGAAGAAGAAGACGAGGGTGGAGCATCACCGAAGAAGCGCGCCAGGAAGACCATCAAGAACATCGCCCAGAAGACCGCAAAGCCGAAGACCAAGAAGGGTCATGGACCAAATCGCAAGCAGAACGATGCCTGGTCGCAAGCAGAGCGCGAGGTCATCGTGACGCTATTCAACAAGATCATAGCCGAGAAGGGCCTTATTTACTGGGCGGAAAACATCAGTTCCATCTTCCACGAGGCTACCGACGCCGTGAACGCACATAGGGCCCTGGATAAGAACACATATCCAGGTGATACTCGTCGGATGGACGGTGTCCGCACTCAGGTCCACAAGAAAGACGCTTATAAGCGCATTAAAGACCGAGCTGACGCGCTGAGGACTAAGAAGGCCGACCCCAAGAAGACGGTGACAGAGGCAGAGCTGAAGCCTCGAGATGTATTCAAGGTGGCGGATATCGAGCCCCCTAGCGGCAAGAAAAGCAAGAAATGAGGACCAAGAGTGAGACTTGGGTAGAGAAATCGGTGGCGATGTTTTCAGCGACTTTCGATGAATGGGTGTAACGTAGGTGGTCTGAGGATACGTGTCCGTCAGGGCAACATCAAGGCAACGTCTTTTGCCGATGAGTTGGAAGGTGCGAATCGAAGGTAATGCTGCAGATTGGATAAGATGTGAGTGGAGCTGCGAGACAATGATGTTCGATACCCATTTGGGTCGTCGCCCTTGACTATAGCAATGAAAAGATGAAAGATATATATCCAAATGTGCTGGTTGTGCTTACTGGGTGTCTTCACGACGCGCGCTGACTTATACGAATGGAGGGCGTTTGCCTACATAGATCGTGTCCATCCACGAGGTTCGTGCGTGTGTGCGATGATAGTCATATGGTAAATGGATGTGAACGGATGATGATGCGGCGATGGAAGACGACAGAGGCAGGCGCCAAGGTGAGGTTGAGGTTTGCAGCGCGCCATGACGTCACCACCGACGCGTTGACACCGGGCAACTTCCTTCCCGAATCCACTACCTGCATTCAGCCTCGCACATCGCGTCGCAATGCTTCCATACTCTTTATCTTCATCGAAGGAGCGGTCGAGATATGTGCGACAGGGTGCACAAATACGATGCCATCTCTGGGCAATACTACCGCTACTGCGGCTATTCCAGCCTGAGCGTCGCTGATCTGACCCGTCGATTTCACGAGATATCCGCGCAATGGATACACAAACAACGAGCATATAGGTGTGGCTCTCGAAATGACATGCTCAAGAGGGTCATGCATCGATGTCAAGACGCGTGAAAGGTATCGCGTGTTGCTTGCTGCTGGAAGCGCGTGAGGGGGGTCGATATCCATTCAAGTATAAAAACGGGAGTCATCGAATGATTTACTGACAGACTATCGTTACTTCACATTACCATGGCTTCAGATGTTCAACACCAACGCGCAAGACTACTCCACGCCCATCTCAAGGTTGCAGCCGGCGACTACCCGCACTGGAATGAATCAGACATCTACGACATGATCAAGGAGGGTGTGAGTGACGAACACATCGAAGCCGAGTGGAATTATGCTTTGTCGGTGTATCAAGACTTCAAGGGTGAAGCGGCGGAGGTCCTATCGCGCCTGAGAAGGTTGAGTGTTGACCGTTTTCATATCGGCGAAAATCTTATCGCAATATGGATGAAAGAAGGAGTGCCGGAACGAACCATGGCCTTGCAGTACCTTCTGACTACACTTGCGCCAACGGCCGAGGATCCGAAAGCATGCTTGGCTGAGCTGGAAGTACAAATGGGCCCTTGTCCATCGACGACGGAAGAGTACATCCTGAGCTGCATCCATAAGGGTACTTCCGGCGTAGAACTTACTGGTGAGTATGCAAGACGTGTATACGAAGCGCAATTGGCAGAGCAAGCAGACTTCGCAGACCCTATGTCCGACGAGGACTTATGGTTGGAGCTGCATTTCGGTCTTTTATACGCTACCACAAATCTTCCGTCGGCGCCCATCGTTCTGCGGCATCCACAGCGCTCTCTGGATCAATACAACATGTACTTCCACGACAGATCTGGCATAGACATGAGTCTCTTCAACGCCAAGACAAATAGATTGGCGGTAAAAACGGCCATGAATTTACACTGGCGAGTGAACCTATTGATCAAAGAGGGCGATCACCCAAAGGCCTTGCGAACGACCATCACAGCAGAACATCTCGAAGCATATCGGAAGATACGTGACAAGGTCATAGACGATGAGATCAACCTATATGTGGAGAGTCATGGCGCGCTCTGGCAGTTCCTCTTGAACCTAGCGGCAGAGTTGCATCCAGATCTACCCTCATCGCAGGATCCCGAGCGCGACCCCACGCAGTCTACTGATGTGGTCAAGCCGGCCACAGTATCCAGGCCGCGATGGACCGATGTCGAACGTCACGCCCTTTGGCGCTGCATCAACAGGTGGTGCAACAAAAACGGCGTGGACCAGTTCGAGCTACACAAATTCAAGAAGGCCAAATGTACAGAATTTGCAGAGGAGATAAAGGCAGATTGTGCAGAGAAAGGTGAGGTGTCAAATCGCAGCCCAACCAGCGTCTACAATCAGATTAAAGATGCGCATCGCAAGGACGACCCTACGGTACCGAACTGGCGGATCACGGATTTGTTCAACCGTGCAGAGGAAATGAGAGCGATAATCGCACGCGGCGACCATGTTTCGAAGGAGGAAAGGCGTCCGAAAGCAGCCATCAAGGTTCCAGGGGATGATGAGTCTGACGATGGATTGGAAGGTTCTGAGACGAATGAAGACGAAGGGGGTCTCTAGATTAGATGAACTAGATATCAGCTACAATGAAGCCTAGCCTTCCTTCATGACCTAGCACTGAGTTTACAGGGCGAGTCTGGCAGTGTTATGCCGAGCAAATTACGAGGATGCTGCGAACAGTGTGAGATGGTGGCAACGTAGTGGCAGGATAAGCAATCTTCACGTGGTTCCGCACGTTTGTTCGAGCCCAGCGTGACCCGATCATATCAGCCGCTTGATACCGTCCCTCACAAACATCCTGACGTATAAAGAAGAAGGCCAGTATGGCGTTACCTTCGATCAATACACGGAGTTATCACCATGACCGACAACCTCGATACTTCAGCCATCCCGTACGCCGAATGGAACAGAGATCAGCGCGCGTGGATTCATCTCTACTACAAACTTCTGTTGCAAACCAGGCGTCAAAACCCATCTTTCCCGGTCTGCACTAGCGACAGCGTAGCTGCAATTGCTCATCAAATGTTCTTCCGCAGCCCTGAAGAGAAGCAACATGGCATGAAACCGCACTCTTTGGAGGACGATGAGGTCTATAAGGCTACATTTATTCGGTACCGAAATGTCGCTCTCCCGAATATGATGTCTCACATAGTGCAGCTCTGCAAGGACAATATCGAGTTAGACTCTCGTTGCAGCATACCTCAGGTCTTCATCAATAGACCGATGCTAGATGAATATATTAAAATCAGCGGAAAATATTTTGGTGGCGGCACTAGTCGCGGCCCAGAAAACGATGATCCAGAGCCCTGGGAGTCGCAGACTACTCTTTGGGGGTTCATCTCAAAGGCAGTAACCGAAAGGTTCCTTCAACGTGGGGTTCTGGACAGCCAGGACACTCTTGTGCAGTCATTCGCTCGAGTAACTGGCGAACATTTCTTACTACCACCCACCGATGAGGAACGCGCGGAGTTGATTTTGATGCAGCAAGTCATTCAGCGTCTACTGGCTAGAGCAAACAGTGGCAATTCAGACGATGGCACAGCGTAGGGGCCATAGATGCTTCATCCATGTAAGCACTGAATATGCTGTGGTCTCGTTTCAGCAACTCGCATGGAAAGAAGTTCAATCTCAGGCAATTCATACACACATCTACTTCATAGCCGTCGAAGATATGACTTTCATGATCCAACACTGTCTACGCGACGAGTCTGCAGTCATCTCATAGGACCTGGGTCCCACATGATTTTGTTATGTGCATTCTATTTATAGGCGAAATGAAAGTTGACTGTGTGATCTTGGTTGAAGCATTCTATCTTGAATAGTTCACGTCGAGCTCCTCCGACAGCTGAGAAGCATCAATTGCTGACGGCCTTTTCCTTACCCAGTAGGCTGCATCTTGCCACCTTGTATCCGACAATGCTCCGGAGCCCTGTCGGTACCAACAAAGGACCAGATTCCCATCGTGGAGAATTATTTTGGCGCAAGGACAGCCTTTGTTTTGACATGGCCTGCAAGCTTTGTGCTCACCAATCTGCTGTGATACTTTACTTTTTCCAAATACACGAGTTCGCACGCACCCTCTTCCCACATTCGCTAACCGGTTGCCTTCCTTGACCATCCTAGCATAGGTATTATGGCGGGACCTATCCGCTCGTGCGTATTGGACGTGGTTACTTGCGCTGAACCAGTATTGGAAGTCTTCTGTGAGAATCTCTTGGACGTCGGGGGATAGTTCGTCGAGCGTGTGATAACTGGTTCCATCTTCGCCCGCGACACAGAATAGCCAAGGTATGTCGTCCGCAATGAAGAGATCGTTTTTCCCCAGCTGTGTGAAAAACGACTTTCTCTTCCTCTTTTTCGCTCGCTGTGTTGATAACTGGTCTGGGTCGAGTTTGTGCGTACGCTTATCAAGGGTGAATGTAGGTGGAGTCTCGGACCCCGCGAGGACTAGGTATCGTGTCAGTGCTTGTTGACCTTAAGACTTCAGAGAGGAACGCGCTACTCACAGTCCTGGTCTTGATCGAATTCCGAGTCGTTAAAGACAGGTGACGGGGTCGGAGAAGTCTCTTGATCTTGGGTGTGACTACCAAACGAACGATCTCTTGACCGAAGCCTGGAAGATAGCGGTATTGAAGACGCAGAGACATCCACGTCTCCTCTTTGACTAGATTGTGCCATGATTGGAGGCGGCGGCTTTGTGTTTCTACCTCCTCCCGGCTTAGGTATCATATCGTAGAGTATCCGATACTGCTCTTCCGAGTCGAAGAGCTGCTTTTTGGTGTCGGAGAGCTCTTGCATGATGTTGGAAAGCTGTTCCTGCGTACATAGCTTCTCTGCGTGCTCTTTGTTGGTGGTCGTGCGAGCATTACGCACTTCCTCGCGGAGGCGAGTCGCGAGGATACCATGCTCTTCTTTAATCCTCGCTATCTCCGCGGCGTGCGCGAGGTCTTTGGTCCGCAAATCTTCCTCTGCTTCAAAATATGCGATACGTAATCCGGCCTGTGCGGCGTCCTCGTCGGGATCGGTCTTGGCTTCTACAGCTGTTGTAAACAACTCGTTAGTCTTCATACTCAACGCAAGCTCACACTCCTGAGTTCAAGAGCCAATATCTCTGCTCTTTTCGGATAACTCACCTGCAGAGTCGAATTGTTCGTGAAGATGAGCGATCTCGGTGTCTTTCACTCTGCATGCTACGCAAAGCTCTTCAGTACTCTTCTCTTGGTCCTTCGAGGTCGTAGTGTTCTCCTTGAGGGCATCATTCTCCTCCCAAAGCTGTCCGATCTTGGTGTACAGATTATTCAGCTTTCGCTTCTGTTCGCCAACGGTGCAAAGAGCAGCGTCACGTTCACGCCGAAGTCGAGACTCGTTCTCGTTGACCTTGCTCACTGGGTCTATCACACTTTGTGAATATGCCGAGACAACAGTAGTATCGTCATCGAGGCGCGTCTTGGAGGCGGTGACGGTAGTAGTGACTTCTTGGGTAAGTTCACGGGCTTCGAAATCGTCGCGCGTATCACTGGATTTACTTGGATGCGACATTTCTCACATCCGGGGTGATAGGTGATGGGCGAGACTGGGTGTCGAGGCGGAGATTTCGCGTCTCAAAATGACGGCGGTGGGGGTGCGACGCATGCGCTTCAGGAAGGAGCAAGCGGCTTAGTCACGTGAGTGTTAGTTAGCGCAGAGTCAAGAGCAGTGCATGAACGAACTGTGGCCTGGTCGATGGGGTGTGTAAACGGATATTAAGATGCAATACTAATGACTTGTTTCGCTGGATTAACGTTCCCATGGTACTATCGTGAACTACCACAGCTTCCATGAGCTCCGTGCTTCGACAGTACTGTTGCAAGGTACTGCTGTGCCGTTGCCTGGGCTTACAACACCCTTGCTCTGGATTCCAGTACCCTCGCTCGTATCTTCGGTACCGTTGCTCGGGCTGCCTGCGGTAGTCACCCTGCTGTTACCATTGAACGCAAGTAGGTTCACCGAGCCCATGGGGTCCGTCACGACATTGGGCGTAGCTAGCGCATACACCCTCGCCTTGACATCAGCAGCAGTCGATGGTCCTTCGAGACCACGCAGATATGAAACTAAGCCCGCTACGTGAGGAGATGCCATGGAAGTACCAGTCAGCGTCCTCGTCTCTGTGTCGCCCAGGTTGGATGCCGATACAATGTTTGTTCCAGCAGCAAAGATGTCGACCGCAGCGCCGTAGTTGGAGCCTCCGCCGCCGCTGTGCCTCTTATTGGTGATTTCGATGTTTCCAACACAGATGACTTCAGGGGAGCGAGCTGGCGAGCTGTTGATAGCAGGAGAATCCTCGTTTCCTGCCGATGTCACGACGAGAACGCCTTTCTTCCAGGCTGCAGTGATGGCGGCATCCCATGTTGTTGACGCGGAAGAGCCAAGCGAGACGTTGATGACGGCGGTGTTCTGGCGGCCCTTGGAAACAATGTCGTTGACCGTCCAGTCAAATCCGGCGAAGACATCTGATGCGCTTCCGGTGTCACTGTCCAAAACCTTGACGCCGATAATGTTGGTCTTCTTAGCAACACCGTACTTGGCGCCACCCACGGTTCCAGCTACATGCCTAGAGCTTGTCAGGATGTGAAATGAATGTTTCAGAGACTGTGACTTACGTTCCATGGCCTTCGTTGTCGGCGTCGGCGGTGCCTCTCACAGCATTGTAGCCCCAAGTTGCTCGTCCCTCGAAGTCGCTATGGCTGATACGAACACCAGTGTCTTGAAGATAATGTCAATACCGGGTCAATGTTGTGATGAGTTTCGTGACTTACCCATAACGTAGGAGAAGGTGCCCTTGCCCGCAGTGTCATCATACACATAGGAAGTGGCTCCTGGAGTACGGGATGATATGCTGGCTAGACCCCACGGTGCGTTCGCTTGAGTCACCACCGCGTTGATCCTCACGATAAAGTCCGGTTCGATGGTGAGGACCTCAGGGAGAGCCTTCAGCTCTTCAACGGTAGTCTCATCGAACGACCCAGCGTAGGCTTTGAAGTCGCCAAATCCGTACTCGCGGTCCACTGGAGCACCAACGGGACCATCGTCGCCTCGTCGAGCCAGATTGCGGGCATGTATGCTGCGCACAGTGTTGTGGTGGGCTGCGATAGATGCAACGTCGGTATCAGGCTTCAGCTGAACGATGTATTTTCCGGGGATAATCTCGTTTGCTGGAGGCGCCACAACGGGAGCAGCTTGGGCCAGGAAAGGGGCTGCAGCTGCAGCGAGCGCGGTGATGCGGGTGAAGAACTGCATTTTGCCTGTGGATCGTGGGTGCGGCGTGTGGAAATCAAGGTCGATTTGCCCACTACTGCTGGACTACGTGCGCTTTTTGACTTGCACCATCTTCGTCGCAGAGGCTACTGTACGAGTAATCGTTAATCCAAGCATCGCGCTTTTCTTGACTACTGCCTGTTTGGGCTCAGCTCCCGTAATGCAGTTCGTATAAGAGGCGATGCCGGTAGCGGTAGATGAGAATCTTCCGACTCATGGTCAGCCAAGACAGTCGCGCCAGGGGTAATTTTGGAAACGGGATGGAAAACAACCCTGTTCTTCCGGCCAGCGCTTTCCATTTCGAGCGTGACTACCGGGCGCGAAGCGATGGACACGGGATCCGGCGTCGTATTTTGTGGATAGATCCCACATCGGAATGCACTCCGCAAAATCGGGCCTTGTAGTATCAATGCCATTGTTCGCGACAACAGAACAGGCAGGTTCCAAGAGTCTGTATATTGCGAAAGGCTCGAAGATATGGGGAGAGATAAGAATCAGCCTGGGCAATAGAACACTATCAAGGGTAAAGGGCAGTAGATGATGCAAAACGCTGTTCAGAGTGGTGGACTTTTCGGAGAGGACAGTCTGCGGTGCATCTGGAGCCGTATTGCATCAGCCCAACACAGGTAACGAGAAGGAGACCATCCAGTCAAGAGGTAACAGCGTGAACTATCGACGACTTGAAATGCGTGATGATCTCGTACTGGAAGAATCCGCTGGGCGGGCGGTCCCGAGATCTTGAGCGGCTTGCGGCAGATATCGGCGCGACTACGGAAGTAGATAACGGAGACTATCAGTCCAGTCCATCAAGCTGGTTGATGATATGACACCGAACAGTCGCTGCTTCGTGCTACCTCTATTAGCTGGCTCGCGACGGGCTGGCTGTCGTCGACGCATAATGTCTGTAGATGATGGGCATGCGGGTAAAAAGGAGTAGCGAGGAAGCCGCTCCGTTCGAGAACAGGCTAGGCTGGTCGCGCCAGATGACTCAGCAACCCCCGAGGTCCCTCGCGCCAGGATGGCGTGTCGAAGCTGTTGCAAACTTCAACACTACAGAACGATGGTCACGCGTCGTGGGGAACTGCATCAACCTGCATATTTACATGTCTTCGCTGAGATGCCACGGTAGCTTGCGACAGCGCGTAATGAATAGATGGAACAGATAGACTACCTAGGTATCCAAGGATATGCAAGAAGTCCAATTCCCTTCCGCCTGCTGACCTTGATTCGCCTCTACGCTGTAGCGTCCGGTGCACTACCTTCGTCTTCCACGCAAAATGCTGATGACATTGGCGAAACCTTCCATCTCTACCTGGGCCGAAATCTTGCTGACTCTTTCTCAGCCCATTCCGCCTCTAACAAAAGAACAAGTTCTAGTCATCCTCATCAACTACTTTTTCCTCATCATCACCGCCAAACTCAAAGATCATGTCAACTTCGCGGTTGATGTCCTCATCGTCGTCAACCGTCTCATCGACTTCCTGGGCAGCATATGCTTCATTACGAGCATCCATCTCGGCCTTGGTAAGATGCGCGTCTCGTCCAAGTTGTATCCTGCCTTTGGCACTGAGCCTGGGACGTTTGTCAGACTTGCGCGGGGAAGAGGGCAGCAAATCGTCGTCATCGTCGTTGTCGTCTTCGTCTGAGCCGGATTCGATAGAAGTCTCGTCGTCGGAATCAAGCTTACGCTTCTTGCCGGGTTTGTTGTGTTCAGAGGGTGTCTGCGGGTTCGCCTTTGCCAAGAAGCCGGCAACGTCGACAGCCTGATCAGGATAGCGCTCGTCGTCCGGAACGCTTTCACCAGCTTCAATACGCGCAGCCAGCTTCTGACTCTCGATGTATAGCATGCCCAAGGGCTCGTTGGGTTTATTCGTCATCTGCTGTCTCGCCCAACCACTGACCGAGTCAACTGAACGCAGAAACCCTGTCTTTGCCACAAGGGTAGCCTGGAGATCCTCCCTCCCACTCTCCATGATACGAGGTAGGAGCTTGTCCAAGCCGTTCTTCTTGACCCAAGTGTTCACCCACTCGTAAACGATGGCACGCTCATTATCGGTCCAGGGATCGCGCATCTTGGTTGTCTCGCCAGTGTCACGATTGCGCCATTGAGAGAGCTTCTTGCGGTACTTCAAGACCCATGCATCATCGTTAAGATCGATTTGGTCAAGGTGGTCGAGGTCGACGAGGTGTTCGTAGATGTACGCGTTTGTGGCTGTGTCGAAGACCATGAACTTGAAGGTAGGTGTCCAGCTCGTCTCGCCGCGCGTCCAGGTTTCTCCATCATCTGAAGTTACCCAAGACGTGTCTTTCCGCTTGTTCGGGATGGTGACAGCGGCGGGGTCCGGAATGAGGTACTTGGGACGGGTTTTGTCGCGCCACATCCTGGTCAGCTCCTCCTCAGTGTACTTGATGGTGATCTCTGGAATGACGTCCAGTTGAGCGAAGACCTTCCCTAGCGGAGTGGTGACGCGGTGGTGCACCCGAATTTGCTCGCGGTTGTTCATCACGCGCAAGAACTCCTCCGCATCTAGTCGAGCCGTCTGATTGAAGACCGGCTTGGGTCGCTTGTGTTGCCAGTTGTCGAAGTCGTACTGGAGCACGTATATCGATTCAAAGAACGCTTTCATCTTACCGAACTTCGTCGGGTTCGTCCAAGGGTCGACATCAGGTTCGATGCCTTTCTTCCTAGCCTTCTCCACCAACGCACCATACAAGGTCACCAAATCCTTACTCAGAAAGAGTTGCGATAGTGATCGGTGTTCTGGATTTATGTCGCCATGCACGCGGTTCTTGGGCTCAGCGTTTAGGTTCGCCTGCGACTGCTTCTTGATCGCCGCAGTCAAATCCGGGACGAGCTGGTCGCACAAGTTCTGGTATTGACGAAGTCGCTCGGAGCGGTTGCTTTCGGCGGACCAGTGTGTCGCAACGCCGTCCTCCGTAATGTCTCCAGCTAGGAAGGCGTCGAGCTGTCGACCTTGAGCCGACATGTCGAGATCAACTACTGGCTGCGAAGCATGTCGCGTCAACGCTAAGAGAGTCGAGTATGTCAGGAGAATGTGTAGTTTCTCTGGGCTCAAGGGCACGTTCTGTGATACCGGTGGAGCCTTCGTCTCGTCTTTGTTGCCGCGATTTGGGCCCGCAGTGTCTTCGGTAGACGCGCGCTCGCTAACTCGGTCACCTTTCGCGATAGTGGGCGCAGTAGCCAACATGTCTGGAGTACAGAGCGTCAGTATTGTTCCCCAACAAGATCAGGATGTGCAGTATGGAACGCACAGCACCCCTCAATGTTCTTGACGCTGTCGCCTGCCGCCAGCGGCGCTGCATCAGCCCGCTTGTATTTGTCTGTCGCCATGGTGTAATTGCTATCCATGTTTGTAGAGCCGTCCCAAAAAGTCTCAATGACGCCCGAGATGATAGATACGTAGAGCCTGACGTGGATAGCAGATCATATGGTGACCGTCTGTGCGTGGAAAACCTTGGCAAACGAAGGTGAAGAAGTCTTGCAGCGGAGCAAATAGCTAGTAGCATGAGCATGTTATGACGCCATGGTCAAAAAGAGGTCTCATCCACTCACGAAGACCGGATGTGACTGTCCATCGCTGGGGGAGGTATACCTATCTTTGACGCCTTGTCCCAAGCACCTTACAGTTCGAGGACAGTGCATGTTACTGTGATTGGTTGAGTTGGCGAAATGGGTGAAGAGACATCGTCAGTCTCGACGACTACCATGTAAGAGGAAACAAATTAGGTTATCAACAAGGCGCGAGACAACCACCGTCCTGGCTTGTCCTAAGAGATCCAGCGGTAAGCGGTAGCGTGCGGAACAAATTGTGTTCATGAGATCATGGGTCACAACGTAGAAGAGATGGAGTCGCTCTTCGCTCTCGCATACAAACAAATGCATGCGATTCAAAAACTACTTTACTGACTACAAATACTTGTGTGGCTATGGTATACACCCCACTATGATGGCCTGAAGCCTCTCAACTCACCCACCCTAAGGCGGAAATCGTGAATCCCAGCGCTCCCCGTATGTTCCAAAGAGATATCTAAGACGCCCCTCAAAGCCTTCAACCGTGAATGTAGCATTACGTGGCGTCATGACGTATTTCCAGCTCCAGGGACCTTCATGCATGACCGAGAAGGTGTCACCGCTATCGTTCTTGACCTGTGAAGCGGAATAAGTCGGATTAACGATGACAAAAACGTGGATACCAAGCTCGTGAAGGCGTCTGAGCAGCTTGAAGAGAACACGCAGAACGCGTCGCACTTGCCGGAGGGCTTGAGCCTTTGTACCGTGACCCGTCTCGATGATTATGAAGATTTTGGCGCCTTTGCTGAGTCTGCACAGCTCCTCGAGGCGATTTAAAACGACCTCACGGTCTTCCAAATGGCGCTCTGTCACCACTAAGCTCAACCGTCCTATTTTGGAAGTAAGATCGAGGCCACCGCGCTCGTCGACTTTGTAGTGCTCGAAGACCTTGCCCAGTAGCTCGTGTCGAGCGCGAAAGTCGAAACGGGCGCCTTGCTTTATCAGCTCATTTATGATGTCCATGTGCAGTCCGATACCAGTATATTCTTCTTCGAAAGCGTGTCGTAGAGTCGAAACGCCGTTGACAAAAGAGATCTTGCGATCTTTACTGGAGAGGAAAGTGACGGAGCTTTCGGTCAAAAGATGCCCAGCAATAATGTCGCGTAGTTCCTGCGGTAGTCGTTCATCGACAGCTTCGCAAAAAGGGCGGCACTGGGCCTTAGCCTGAGCCTCCACTTGATCGGTGAAGCTCGTCCGTGTCAGGCGTAGATTTCCTCCTGCCTTCCTCAGCGCTTGCTTCTCTCGAATGAGCCTCGCTTTGGGGTTCGCTCTTTTCATCTTGTCAAGTTCGGCCGCTTTATCATGGAAAGCCTCGCTAAGACTAGCGATCGTGTCGAGCGTCCTGTCAAAATGTCAGCCTTGTGCACCTGGTGAGCAGAAGCAGGCCTACCTTTTTGCCTCAATACGCCAATTGCCGGAGCTCACGACGCCGGTAGTGGCCATAACGGCGTTCTGTTAGGGGATGCTGGTGGAAGCCTTGCTCATCGATCTGATGAGAGGGAAGGGACAGTGGAAGTTCCCGGTGATGCACACAAAGTCGCGACAGGTTCAGCAAGTGACGGGACGAGGTTATCGGCGGTGATTTAAAGTGATAGACGTGATAGCTGATGTTGTAAGGAAGCGCGACAAAGTTTGGTGGTTGTTGTTGATTGCGCACTACCTACCTAGGTAGGTAGATAGCACAAACGGACGCCGGGGCAGTCACGGCCCTGTCACCACGTGGATGACGCGTGACGAGAGATACGGTTTAGCCAAGCATAGCATCAACGGCGCGCATTACAATCTGTAATCCTTCAACGTCGATGGCCTCCAATGCATGTCAGCTGGAGGCCAAAGGGTAGTAAAAGGTTGGGCACTCACCGCCAAGCCATGCCTGTGACGTTCACAGGCACGCAGTTTGTTTCCTGCTCTAGCGCATCCATCTTTTCCAAACGATATTCAAATTCGTCTATCAAGCCGTGATAGTTTCCAAAACCAGCAACGCTGGCACCGACAACATAGCCAGCCTTTCTCAACCGACACAGACACTCAATCATGGGGGCAGTACCCTCCAAGAGGAGAGCATTTTGACCATCATCGGGCATCGCCGAGGTATCCATATAGTCAAGAAGAATGTGTATCGATGCACCGGTTCGCAACTGAAACAGTAGCTCGAGATCTCGAATTTGTTCTTCCCAGCTCCGAGGAGAATACATCCGAAAGAGTATATTACCAGGACGGTCTTTCTTCGGGTCGAATGCTAGAAAGTCTGGAGATACGACGATACAGATCTTCGTAATAAGCTTATAACGCGAGGTGTGTATAGAAGGGACGTTCTCGTCAAGAAAGCGCCTCAAATCCACGAGGTGCCACCGTACATTGAAGGTGTTTGCGCGGTACCAGACGGCCATCATTCTCGCCAGCATGGCCTTGCCGACATACTCGACCTTCCAGTAATGTGCGGGTGGATGATACTGGTCATCAGCATAAATGGGCTCGCAAGTCCCACCCGCTGCCACGCCCGTGCGACTGTGGCCTATGACGCGTTCAATGATCATGTCACACAACTCTGGGGGCAGAGAAATGAGGATCTTTTGGCACATGTACCTGCATGACGCTCTTCCATAGGTATCGAAGATTTTCAAATTTTGTAAGGCTCGCGTAGCGATCTTATATTTCCCAGAGGCATATTGCGCATGGATACGCTGACGGGCGCTGGTCATTTGCGTTAATGTGAGCCCGGATGGACGAGGGTTGCCTGAACTCACGCAACAGCCTGTTGATACAGCTTCAACACTTCTTTGGCAGTTGTTTCTTTACGCATAACGTTTTTTTAATTCTTGTGATAACGATGTGTTTAGAGTGCGGAGGGATGGTAGGCAAGGACGACTTGACATCTTGCGGGGCTAGGCAGCAGCGCGGGTATCTAGGTAGCGTCTTGGCACTGTAACACGCATGCGCGGGGCGCAAATGTCATCCCAGTTGGATCGTGACATTGGCAGCGTGAAGTAGTAGGTGGTGTGCGTCTCCTATCCATTGTCAGCCGAGAGCCTACCGCCATGTTCAACCAGACACTTACAGCCATACCAGATTTGAGCCATGCCCAGTAGAAAAGGAACTTCGCGTATCATTGATCGACTTTTCCGAAACCGAGTCATAGAGTGAGCCGTTGTTCGGCCATGTTGATGATAACATAATGCCGGTGGAAAGGCCGTATCCAGCAGCCGCCAAGCGTGACAGTACGTCAGCTATAGTGGCGGTAAACTCACGCAATACCTTTCTTTCGTGATATGCATATCGATCTGGTGTCCTTGCGAGTACGGTGTAGTTATGGGGTACAATGACATAGACATGGATGGAAGCGCCTTCCTTCAACAGGAACAGGTGCTCCAGTCGTTCTAGCATGCGTGTACGGGATGCGGAGTCCCTCACCACCCCTCCTCCCAATGGCTGCATGTGAGTCCCCACGTCTCTGAGGTCGAAGGCGATACTGATCTTTGTGACAAGCAGCTGGCGGGTTGTGTCCAACGGTGCGGGTTGAGACGAAAGGAAGCGTTCGAGATAACCCAGATCCTGTCCAAAGTGAAAACGAACCAAGCGATACCAGACTTCGAGTATCTCTTTCGAGGTCGCGTCGCCAACTTTCTCGGCTTGCCAGTAGCGAGGGCCCGATTTGGAGCAAGTTGGCTCGCTTGTCGGCAATGCAGCAACGTCGCGTACTACTGAAGACAACACATACTCGTAGATCATGTCTCGAAGTTCCCTTGGTAGTGTCGCAATTACGTTCTCGCAGAGATTCCGACATGCAAATTCGTGATTGGTGTCCATGGCCTTTGTGGCGGAGCGTCCGGACATTTCCATTTCGTGTTGTGAGATCCTTACAGCAGTGGCGAAGCAGCGAAGATGAATTGCAGGCGCGCTTTTCGAGGCGAAAGTAGGATAGAGCGTCAAGATTACCAAAAGTACCGGTCGCGATGAGAGAGCCGGGAGGCGGAAGGTCAGGGGCGCAGAGCGGGGTTATGTAGCACCTGCGCCTCGGCGCAGGCATATTCACGACGGGCTGCATGGGTACCTATTGTTCTGCTTTCGTTTGTTTTGATCCACATCCAATCCATCAAAATCTTGTGTCGTTCAGGCTGGCGACTGTGGTTTCACTTCATGGCAGCTTGGAGACCGATGTGATGCGGAGTCTCCCTAGGAAGCTAGGTAGCGTGGAAGCTAACCAGGTCTGGGCAAACCTCACGCGTGATCACGCGCTTCTCGGCGCGTCGTCCCCGCAGCTGTTCCAGGCCACCTGGTTGACACCCAAGACGTCGCTCGGCTTTCCAAGGCTGCTATCGTCGATTGCCATGTGACTTCGTGTGAGGTGGGGGTTCATCTAGCGGATCCCAACGCGACTCTTCGCTCAGTGCAACAAGACAGACCGCGTCGACTGAGCAGTACCTCCACAGCCTCCACCATCACCACTACGACTCCGAGAGCCACACTCTCTCGCGCAAGACGCAGATATGCCGAACACCAAGAAGCTATCTGATGGCGAGACGTAAGTGGAAGCCCTCCAAAGTGTTGGAAATGTATTGACGCATTTGCAGTCTGGAGCAACGCCTATGCCATTACCTTCGAGCGAAGCAGAACCGCACACAAGTCCTGTTGGCAGATGACCAGCGTATACGAGACAGAATCAACGATATTCAGGCCGAGAAGATGTTACTCGAGGATGAATGTATGCTGCTCGAGGATCGGCTTGAAAGTAATCTGAGGCAACGTCTCGAAGATCGCGAGGGAGAGCCACTTTTGCAGGAGCTGATGGCAGTGGAGCAAAGCAAATGTCGTCCGGTATGCGAAGCTATGCAGCTGAAACTGCCACGCGAAATTCGCGACATGATCTATGAGCAAGTTGTCGGCCCCCCAGCCTGGCACAACGGCCAACATACTGTACCTGTGGTAGCATCGAAGGATCTCGGTGTCTCGGACCCATTCGAGCTCGTCAGCAACAGCATCGGTCTGTTGGCCAGCGGCGGATATGACCATTTTGGCGAGGCCACACGGCAAGAGTTGGCGGAGTACTGGTACATAAGAAGTACATTCGACTTCGGCACAGACTTGCATCTCCTCAAAGCCTTCCTCAACAGTGTTGCTGCCGGTACTAGTTGCAAAGCTCTTGAGATAGTCCGCCAGCTCGAGATTACAATCGACTGCAACGACGAGTTCGAGCCGGAGACCGAGCGACTTCTGACCAGTGCTCTGGCGGATCTTACACTACGGATCCAGCCAGCACGATTACGAATTTATCTACACGACATCCAGGGCGTTGTGCGCTATAATGACGACCGACTCCTGATCCTACTACACAATGTCAGGCAACTGCTTCCGGACCTTCCTGGTTGGACGATCGAATTCGTTGTGCACATGGTCACGAATGACTGTCGATTATCGCGTGGATGGCAAGGATATGCATTCGATGATATCATACCAGGGTATCATGTCAACCTGATGATACCTGGGAAAACAGCCATGTCACACGATGAGTGGTCGGACAAGTTCAGACAAGTAAGTGATGATCTTACCGTGGCATCACTATGCAAGCTGACTGAAGAAACGCAGCTTCGGAAAGAGCTTGAACAGTACTACGACGATATACTGCACGAAGCAGACGACGAAGACGAAGAAGAGGATGAGGAATCGGAAGAAGACGGTACTGATGACGAGCGCGATGAATACATGCCTCTTGATAGAGATGAGCTTCTTGAAATTGAGAAAGAGTTAGGCGCGTGTCAGGAGGATACGATTATATGGCGGGCCTTGGGTGCCCGATGATTTGCGGGCTCCGCTATCCAATGGGTGGCAGATTTCCATAGTCGCCAAGGGAAGATTACGAGCTACCTTTACTTGAGATCAAGGGCCTCACGACTTCATCTTTTACCTGAAATCACTTGAAGACGGACTCACTTGCTAGTGGCCTTATCCTCACCGCGCGGCTCCCGACTGTCTCTTGATCGTCGGTCTACTATTTAATCTGTCTATTGGGCCGACTCTCCTTCTACCCTTCACCAACTCACATTCTGAATCACCTCCCAAGATGGCCACTTCAGGAACAACTACAAGCATGAGTGAGCACCTACGCGTGAAGTGTAACGAGTAAGTCGTGTTTACTGCTCCTTAGCCATCGCTGATCTTAGTTTGCAGGGCGCTGAAGCAAGAACGCAAGACCGAGCTTCAGCTGGCGGCTGCGAAGACCAAGGTCAAGAAATTGCGACGCCGCTGCAAGAAGCTGCAAGAGACCTCTGATGACGACAAAACCGAAACGACCGACGCGTTCCTGGCGTTTGCAAAGAACGACTGCCTAGAGCTCTGCGCCCAAGTCCACAAGACATTCCCTCGCGAGATTCGAGACACCATCTACAGCTACATCACTGGTTTCAAGGATATCAGCATCGATTGTGACCAACACGGAAACCTTGAGCATCTCGACTACGGTTGCTGGGCGTGGGGTCATGAGCTCGGTCTCGATCCTGCGTATGGTGGGGTAGATCACTGGTGGAAGCCCGAATACGTCGGCCCAGCGATGGTCCGCGAATTGGGTGAAAACTTCTATCGCACTTCTTGCTTTACGTTCCAGGGAGATTTCGCAGCCTTCGGCCCATTTCGAGCGACAGACCAATGGGGTTTTGGCTTTTCGCCAGTCGAGTTTGTCTCCAGGGTGGATGTCAGTATCTTTTGCGACGATTACAAGTTCGAGCTTAACGGTCGCCCGAACATCAAGGTCCCTGGCAACCACCATACTTTTCAAGCGTCTTCAAAGGTTCGCGAGAACAACAACGTGGGCACCAAAAACACTCAGAAACATCTTCTCGTAAAGCTAGAGTCGCTTTTCGGCTTCAAACATGGCACAGCGCTTACCATCAGGCTCTCATCACGTCATGGCGCAAAGCATACTCCGCTTGAGCAACAAGAGTGGATGTCGCACAACGTAGTTCCTGTCATCCTACCCGTTCTCCAACGACTGAAAGATGCGGGCTCCCGGGTCCGTATAGTGCTCACAGCCAGTCGAGCTAGGTCAGAGGCCACATTCACTTCGGAGTGGGGTCAGACTTCCCTCGAGCATATCACTAAAGAGTTCTGGGAGGTATGTTTGAGGTGTTTACTGCGAGTTGGTTTCCGATGAGCTAATCTTTACAGTATGTCGATGTCGAACAGAAGCGCATCACACAAACTGAGCTTGATGCTGAACCCTTCGAGGACTCTGATTATGGCGCTGCCTTTGGAAGCGACGTCGCCGACCCCTGGGGCACTGCCCCTGTATGGGATGACTCGCAAGTACCTGGAGGTTGGTAGTAGACGTTAGCCCAGCCCAAAGGTGTAAGAACGGCCCTGCAGACTCGCGACATTGACCATGCCAACCCCCAAAAGCTCACACCAACATCTCCATTTTTTTACACTGATTATCTCAGCAGCCTATCTTTTCTCCTTTCACTGTTAGCGGTCTCTTGCTCTGATCAAAATCATCATATTCGAAAGTCACAACGAGGGTACACACATGCTTTCTGCGATCTTAGCGTGTGTGCAGCGATAAGGCGGTCTTTCCAGAATCTCGTCTTCCCCAAAAGCCCTTTTCATCTGTCTTGCATCAACTCGAGTAGTCTATATTGCCATCGAACAAGCGAAAAGCGTCTAGAATGAAGAAAACATCCCCACCCTGTGGCTCAACAAAGACTCCACGAAAGTGACATTATTCACCATAACGACCACAAAGTGCAAGACTGACCAGGCGAGGGAACTCCATGATGACGCAGTGATTGCGGGTGGTCTCAGTCTCAGTCGCTAGGCAGATGCACGACCGTTCCTCCCACTCCTTTCCTCGCCTACAGATTGGGGTGCATCCTCAGCATTGATCGCCTGGTCTCATTACACGGTTCCACACCCCGCTTCCACCACTACTTCATCTTGCAAATCGCAAACATCGCAATCCACCTTACTCGTACCAATATGACAGCTCCACCACAGCGAGAAGAGCAGGAAACGCAGCTCCGCGACAAGTGCTACAAGTAAGTCTCGTAAGGACATCGCAATATGCAACGACTAATAGAAGCTAGCCTACTGCGCACAGAAACGAAGCTGGCAAAATGGTTGATTGAGGAGGATGCGCGATACGAGAATCGTAAAGCCGAGCTGCAAGCACAGAAAGACAACATCATCAACGAAGTGAATCGATGCGCACAAGTAACCTGTCGACAACTGTGCGCAAAACTCTTCAAAGCCTGTCCACGCAAGATCCGCGATTACATCTACGCGTACCTCCTTCCCGACTGCCCAGTCGTCATACAGCATTGCGAGCACCGCCATCGCGTTTGCGAGTTCTTTGCCCCGGGAAGCGACATTCTGTATAACTTCGTTCAACCCCATAGTCATCTCTTCAAGGCCGCATACGTCACCCCCGACTTCTCCATAGAGCTACTCGAAAGGTTCTACAGCAGCACTACCTTCGACGTACAAGATCAGTTCACCAAGCTAGGCGCCTTCCGAAGCATGGACAGAGGAGACTTTAGTATCATACCCGCCAACTATATCGTCAATCTCTCCATGCACATACGGTGCGAGAAGTATGACTTTGAAGGTGTAATGCCAACGCTGGACAGATTTGACAAAGACTATCCGCTCAAACCCCGTCGAACGCTGCTCGCAGACCTCGAAGCACTATTTGGATTCAAATCGGGCCCCAAGATCGATTTACACCTTCGGTTCAATCGCAACTGGCTGCGCATAATGAGAGGCGCCGAATTCTGGGAGTGCGATTTCGTGGTTCCTGTCATCTTGCCCACGATGCAGAGACTGGCTGCTGCGGGCACGAAGGTGAAGTTATGTTTTGACTATTTCGGGTGTGAGGTGGTCGTCGATCATAGAGACGTCACGATGGAGGAGATCAAGGAGCGGTTCGTCGAGATGAATTGGCAGCTGGCGAAGGCTGCTGGCCATTAAGGACGGAGAAGCTGCGCGCTGGTCAAAGATGTTTGACGAGTGAATATCTCGAACCTCGAGCGGGACAATAGTGGTTGGCTGCTATGGGCCAAAGCGCGTCCTTGTGAGTGAGCATACGTACTCTACGGTGTCGACTCCGATGTCGGTGGAGTGAACTCCGCAACCATCGGAGAATGCTAGGCGGTGAGGATGTCTGCTTCTTGCTTGTTCCATTCCCGTCTCAACGGGTGTGTTTTCCCTCGAATATATGGGTAGAGTCTTCGAGGAGCTGATGGCTGGCGCAAGCGGAGTATACTGTCGATCGCAAGCCATGCAGGGTCCAGACCGCATACGCAGGGCGTGAGTACCTGAATAAGCGATCAGCAGCACCCTGATAGACAATAGTACAACTTCTTGGGATGCGAGCATAAACTCATCGTGATTCTTTTCAATCTTAAGCGAACAACACATTATGTGCATCGTAATGTACGAGATTCCAAGGACAAGTGAGATTGGTGGTGTGGGTGCTTGTACATGCGTGCACCTTCGGAAGCGTGCTTTGAGGTACGCCAGCGAGCTCATGGATGCGCATCTTGCACCATGTTTTGTCAGACTAACACCGATGATAGAGCACTCTCCGAAGAAAATATACGCAAAGCGCGTGTCGCGAAGCTCCAAGAGGAGCTTGCAAGCCTGGAGAAAGATCTCGCCAACACCACACCAACAACAAGAGACGCAGTCGAACAAGTCGCTCGGACGGAATGCCAGCAGCTTACCAACAACATCATGACCAAACTACCGCGTGAGATACGCGATATGATCTACTTCCACCTCAGCACACGAGACCGCGAGCTCATCGAGCGCGAGCACTTCCGGACGACCCTAGATCCGATAACAAGGCTCTACTCGTACGACTTCAACAGATGGAAAGCACAACACTTCCCAGCGCACTACTGGAACACCGATTACGTTGGCCAGCCCTTCTACCGCGAGCTTGTAGAGAACTACTACCGAACAAGCACCTTTCTCTTCGGCGACGATCCAGGAGTAATGAAGCGTTTCCTCACCACCGACGAGATGAAACTAGGCATTCTCCCAAAATCACTAGTCTCCAGCGTCGAGATCGGCCTGAATGCTGTCTCGCATGACCGCGGTTCGTTCCGCGCTTACATGTTTGGCATACCCAAATCACCGGAGCGAATGCGTGAGGCTCTCGATGGCATCTTTGACCTGAAGCCTGGCGCTAGGATAGTGATTCGTTTTGTGACAGAGGCGAAGACTAAGGAGGAGAGAGATGAGCATTGCAAGGGGGCGATGGCGATGCTGTTTGACGACGCGCAGGTGGAGAAGATGAAGATGTACAAGGTTAAGTTTGTGGTGGATGAGGGGCAGGTTTGGGACTTGGGGGAGGCGATGAGGGAGGAGTGGATGGGTATTCATGGGTGAAGCCTTGCTACGAATAGAGAACATCAGTCTGAACCTGCAATCAAATGCTGAGGACGTGAGAGTGATGGGCAGCATGTGAGGGAAAGCTGCCCAAAGAAGGCCGCTAGCGTGTAACTCCTGTCAGCTCCGATTGGCCGAAGCATACGCCATCAGGGCCCGGGGGAAGGAGCACCCCGCCATGGCAGAAAATGTTATCGCGACACCCCTCGGCGCATGTTTCTACGCGTCAAACACTTTCCAAACTTCTTCAAACCTCAGTTTCAACCTCTAACTTCCCTTAGACGCGTCTCAATTCCGTATCGCAAGATGGCTGGCGTTCCTAGCACTTACGATGGTGCGCACCTTCCATCCCATGCTCGTCCAGTCAGTTGCTTACCCGGTACACAGCGCCCGTTCACATTGCCGTCATAGGCGGCACTGGTATCTCTTCCCTACCAGGCTTCACCCTCGCCGCTACACTCGACATCGACACACCTTGGGGCAAGCCATCATCGCCCGTCTCCATCCTACAACACCCGTCGCCCTCGACCGGCAAGCCGATCCCTATCGCGTTCATCTCGCGACATGGCCTACACCACGAGCTCGCGCCTCATGAGGTCAAGAACCAGGCTAACATAGCCGCGCTGCGACACATCGGCGTACGCACCATCATCGCCTTCTCCGCCGTTGGATCTCTCCAAGAAGAAGTGCGACCGCGCGACTTTGTTATCCCCGACCAAATCATCGACCGTACAAAGGGCATCAGACCATTCACCTTTTTCGAGGGAGGCATGGTTGGACACGTTGGCTTTGGCGACCCCTTCGATAAGCAACTGTCCAAGATCGTCAGGCAGTGCGGACATGCGCTGGAGGGAGACGGCATCACACTCCACGAGAAGGGACTCCTCATTTGCATGGAGGGACCGCAATTCAGCACACGCGCCGAATCGAACCTCTACCGTTCGTGGGGCGGCAGCGTCATCAACATGTCTGCTCTGCCTGAAGCAAAGCTCGCGCGCGAGGCTGAGATCGGATACCAGATGATCTGTATGGCAACAGACTACGACTGCTGGAGGGGCGACGGCTCAGAGGACGTCAATGTGGAGATGGTCATGGCGCACATGAAGGCAAACGCAGAGAACGCCAGGCGGTTCGTTGGCGCCGTGCTGAACGAGCTCAGCAAGGAGGAGCACACGGAACAAGTGCTTGCTAAGCACCTAGACGGACAGATGAGATTCGCAGGCGCCATGACAAAGAAGGAGGGACGCGGTTCAGAGGCCGAGAAGAAGCTTCAGTGGCTCTTCCCTGGCTACTTCGACTGAACGCCAAATGCTACTACGCGCGCCATTGACAAAGGCGCATGACATTTGACTACGATATACTCCGATATTAGGAACGCGGAAATACCTACCCCGATTAAGAATCTATGCATGCGCCCGACGGCTGACCAAGTTTCTAGAGGTAAGACGCAGCCAGAGGCGCCGATTACGGCAGGTCGATAGCAGTGGTTACCCCAAAACTCCAAACAACTCCATGTTTACATCATGGAAAATATGCATTAGTCGTATCGATAACTATCCGTCGCCAGCAGCCCGTTCGACATCCGCGGGCACTTGTCAAGCTCGATCTCACGATTCTTTCCCTTAGCACCTTCCTTTCTCGTCTATGATCTGCATTGCTACCTGCCGCAATCGCATCGACAGTTTCCCAGCCTACATAATGAGCGCTCGAAATGTTTGTGATATTGAGAAACGGTTGAGTGAGAAATCCGGCTTTACAGGCTGCTCGAGTATTTTGTTCGGGTGACACCGGTGTATTGCGCTGATCAGGTACTAGGCTGTGGCGAGTCAATCAGAGGAACAGTACCTGCATGCCTGCCATTACCTCGCAACAACGGGCACAAATTGGAGGGTGACACCGCATATCTGTATTTCTTATCATGCAGATCAATACACTTCCAGGATCGAATTTGCATTGGCACCGCGGGGAAGACGCGCGCGCAGCATAATCCCGGTCAGACGTGGGTGCACGGCGGCAGTCCTTCTCGGGTCACCACGGGAAGCATGACTATAAGACACATGATATCGTACACAGTAATGAAGCAGCTCTTGCTCGATACCGCATCTACTCGTCACTCTCCTACCGAACGGTAGCATTCGCAACCGTCAGCATGGTTTCGGCGTGGTTTCTAACAAAGGTCTTTGTGGCTTTTGCGCCACTTACGACGATTGTGTACGCACAGTACAACGTCACCACACCTCAATTGCCTCTGTTGCTGGACGCTACCGCAGATGACTTGACTGCTGGACTTGAGGCTGGAGACTTTACAAGTTTGGATTTAGTCCAGGTAGGTTCCCGGTTTTCCTGCCAACATGTGTAGGCATGGATCTACCTTGGACAGCATCGCTGACATAATGTAGGCTTATGTGGGACGCATCATCGAAGTCAACAAGACTCTGCATGCAGTATTGGAGATCAACCCAGATGCCTGGACGATTGCGAAAGAGTTGGACGAGGAGCGAGCATGTGGAAAGCTTCGTGGGTAAGTTGTGCTGCAAGAAACTGCATGGTCCTTCGCTGACTGGATGCAGCCCTCTCCATGGACTCCCGATTCTCATCAAGGACAACATCGCGACCGCTGACGAAATGAACAACACTGCTGGATCTTGGTCACTAATGGGTGCCAAAGTCCCACGTGATGCGACGGTCGCTGCGAAACTGAGAGAAGCTGGTGCTATCATCCTCGGCAAGGCCAATCTTTCGCAATGGGCTAACTATCGATCTTCGAACTCTTCGAACGGATGGACTGCTCGAGGTGGTCAAACGTATGGCGCGTACTACCCTGGTCAAGACCCAAGTGGCAGCAGTAGTGGCAGCGGTGTTGCTGCTAGTCTTGGTCTCGCCTTTGGAACACTCGGCTCAGAGACCGATGGGTCCATCATCTCGCCCAGCCAGCTTAACAACGTTGTCGGCATCAAGCCTACTGTCGGACTTACAAGCAGAGCACTTGTCATCCCGATCTCTGAGCACCAAGACACCGTTGGGCCAATGGCCCGCACCGTCAAAGATGCAGCCTACATTCTCCAAGCCATCTCTGGACCTGACAGTTACGACAACTACACGTCTGCAATTCCCTGGGCAAGCAACGCAACTAATGCCACCAAGCCCGACTACGTTGCTGCATGCACTTTGGATGCGTTGGAAGGAAAGCGAATCGGGATACCGCGTAACGCCATCGGCACGCCCAGTCCCCAATCCGCGCCCATCTATGCTGCCTTCACAGCTGCTCTCGACGTCCTCCGCTCCGCCGGCGCAGTCGTTGTCGACAACACCAACTACACCGCCTGGGACCAGTATCTCGAATCCAACGCCGAAGGCATCGTTCTCGACGGCGACTTCGTCCCCAACCTAGCGCACTACCTTGAGCAACTCACATACAACCCCAACGACGTCCACAGCCTAGAAGATGTCCGAAACTTCACTCAAAACTTCCCCGCCGAAGACTACCCCGACAGAGACACAGCCGACTTCGACAGCTCCATCGCGCAATCCCAAAACTTCTCAAACACCGACATAGAGTTCTGGGAAGCCTACCA